TGTAACCCTATACCCCCACCCCTAGAAACCTGTCCCTGACGCCAAACATGTACCAATGAAATACTTGTGCATCTCTAATGGCCTTAGGGCACTGCCCTAAGCTTAGGCTATTTATATTCCCCCACGCCATGTGTCCCAGAGAGAGATCACGGGACCCTGGGTGGAGATGCTGCGCCCCGGGGGGGGGGCGGGGGTGACTCTCCCCGCATTCCCGAAATAAAGGTTACTCATATTTTATACTTCTTATCTTTTCAGCCACCGCTGGCCAGTTCTTCCCCCTCTTCCCCTTCTCAGACCTATCAGGTTTCAGTTTCCTGTAACCCCCTCCCCTACCCCTCATCAGCAAATAAAATTTGCTGTTCTTTAAGAAATGCTCTCCTCTGTAAAAGATTGTAAGATCTTACCTAGTTGATATGTTAACCATTGTTGCCCTCTGCAAATAACAGATGTGGTGCTAAAATAAGCTAACAGGGGTTGTTAATTACTGCTAGGTTTCTCTATTCTCTGCTAAGGAAAAAAAGATGCTTGCCCAATCTAAACTTGATTGAATGCAGGGAGACTGGCTTGTTAGCCCAACCCTTATCTGAACTTTGCTCTTCCCAATGTAATTGCCCATTTCTGTCCTATAGTACACCCCAGCCCCCCTTCCTTGCATTGTGAGACCAGCAGGTGTTTGTAGTTTTTACACAATAAAAGCCCTGGGGCTGGGGGTTTAGCTCAGCGGCGTAAGCACCTGCCTTGCAAGCAGGCAGTGGCAAGTTCGATCCCTGGTACGGATAAAAATGAAAAAGACAAAAAAAAAAAAAAAAAAAAAAAAGCCCTGACTTCTAGCTGTGAGACCCTCAGTCTCCAAATTGGCTCCTGGAGACTGTGACGCCAGGCCTGGCCTAAAATAAAGCCTTTGCTCCCCAAATTTTAATTTCTTGCTTCCTTGGGTTTTATTCCAGGGTCCAAGCTATCACACAGCTAATAACATGGAAGGGAGGTTATGCTTATGTCTTAACAGGAGAAAGATCCACAAGATACACACAGCATTGGTGGGAGACACAACCAATGCTGAGGACAGCCTTAGGTGATGGCTCCATCAAGTTGGGCCCAAGGAGACCTGCCAATCAGCCAGAAAATCCACCTCCAGATCTCCCAAGAGACCAGGAGAAAAGACAAGTGATCCAGTTTCCGGAACAACATCCAAGTAAGGATCTGTGAGGCTAGAGATACAGTCACCAGAAGGGGGATTCCACCAACCCCTGAAAATCTTTTGATTGCCTTAATGGCCCTGCTGGCAGTATCTGTATATTTGACACCTGTCTCAGGACTCGAGTAATGGACTTATGTCTCTAATCCATTACTTAGACCCGTTACTTGCGCAGATTCTCTGCCAGAGATTTATCATGAACTAGACTTGACTTCCTAAATTGTGCCATTACAAGGCCACTCGTTTCTGCATAACTCCCTTACATTATAACAAATCTATACATCCTTTGGAGGATATAAAGAAACATATACAAGGAGCAGGGCTGGGGATTTAGCTCAGTGGCATAAGCACCTGCCTTGCAAGCAGGTGCTTATGGTGGTCGTGAGTTCCATCCCTGGTATCGATAAAAAATGAAAAAAAAAATCTCACAAAACAAAACATATACAAGGAGTTATCCATCAAAACATTACTATGGATATTGATGCACTCCAGAAGGAGGTTTTGTCAATGTCCCAACAAACCCAAAAACGACAAATAAATCCAAGATTGGAACAAATTTTCTGATGCTTTAGATCACTTAAATCCATTCAACTATCTGAAGACACATTTCTGGCTTTATGTTGGTATTCTTGGAGTAATCTATGTGTTTCTCCTTATTTTATTCATAGTCTAAGAGAAGCCAAGACCAGCCCACTCTTAGACAATATTCAACCATGCCTCACCCTGATCCAGCTGTTACAAAAACAAAAGCGATGATTAATAGTCACTCACCAAAGTTTCGCACATTGAAAGGTGGCCCTCCAAAATCTCTGTGGTGAGGTTGTGGTAGAGCACTCTTCAGGCATATGCAAGAGCTTGATCTCAGGCACTGCAAATATAGTAGATAGGTAACTAATAGTTGGGGCCTAAAGCTGGACATGATGGCGCCTGCCTGTAATTCCAGCACTCAGGAGGCTGAAGCTGGAGGACTGCTGCAAATTCAAGGCCAGCTTGGGCTACACAGTGAGTACAGGGGCAGCCTGAAGCATACAGTGAGACCCCATCTCAATGAACCAAAAAAAAAAAAAAAAAAAGGGGCTTGGGGTTATTGAACTTCTGCCCTCACAGGTGACAGTAAGACTCTGGCCTCGTTCTCCTTGCTTATTTGCTGGCCATCAGGTAAGCAATTTTGCTGTTAATGCACATATAATGGCATGTAATTTTGCCATTATATGGTGTCTTGCCATAGGCCCAAAGCAACAGGATTCATTGATCACTGACTGGACCACTGAAACCTTTGTTTTGTTTTTTTGGGACAGGGTTTTGCTATACATTTCAGGTTGGCCTTGAACTCACTTTGTAGCCCAGGCTGGCCTTAATCTCAGGGCTCCTTGTCCCTCAGTCTTTCCAGTGCTGGGATTACAGGCATGTGCCACTGCACCGGCCTGACCAATTGAAACCTTGAAGCAAAATAAAACTCTACAGTGATTGTATGAGTTATTTGTTACCATAATGGAAAGCTGCCTATACCTGGAATACTTGGAAACAAAACTATTCCTGGGTCACACAATTGAGTTAGACATTCCAGGTGAAATAGTTTGCAATCTGCATGGGTTCTAAGCCCTCAAAGGTGAGTCTCACCATTGGAAAATTTGATAGAAATGTAGGATCTAAAACCTAAGGGAATTTTTTCTTCTCCTAACATGTTAAGAGACTATCATTGGTGCCAAATAATCTCACAGGTTGTATCAGCTACTCCATGGGAAAAGTATCACTATTACCTTTATAAAGTCATTTTCCTTATAAAATTGTGGGTTCTCATTCATGCCCAGTTAGGTGACCCTCTGGAGTTCCTTTTCAATCCTTATTACTACTACTTTAAAGTGTATAGCTCTTCTTGCTAAGGTGTTCAGTAATAACAGTGATTGGCACTACTAATATTTTGGGCTGGGTAATTCTTTGTTGAGGGGGACTGTCCTGTGATTATAGAATGCTTAGCAATATCTCAGTCTTCTACCCACTAGATACCACTAGTCTACTCTCCAAGTTGTGGCAACCAAAAATGTCATTGCCAAATGTCCCTGTTTGGTATAAAATTATCTCCAAGTTAAGAATCACCAATTTATCATTGATTTCAGTGTATCTATTACAATTCATCCCAGGCACAGCTTGGGGAATTCTAAGCCTTATTTCACAGCAAGTGTAGTCCTTGGGCTAGCAGCACTGGCCATCACCTAGGAGCTTGTTAGAAAAGCAGAATCACTTAGCATACTACTGCACTTGTATAGTCTCAGTGCTCTGGCAGTTGAAGTAGAAGGACCGTGAGTTGGAATCAGCCTGGACAATTTAGTGAGATTTTGTCTCTGTCTCAAAATTTAAAAAGAGTTTGGGGTGTATGTCAATGAGAAAGCTTTGGGTTCAATGCCCAGCACTGGGGTGGGGGTGAAGCTAGGTGCTTATGAGACTTAAACTATCAGGTGCAGTATTTATTTTTTTCCCATTTAGGGTTGGGGATCAAAATGCCACTTGCTACACCACTATCCCTTTTTAAAATTTTTTAATTTTGATGCAAGGTTTAAATTGTCCAGGCTGAGTTTGAACTTGACGATCTTATTGACTGAGTCTGCTCTAGTGCTAACATCACAAGTGTGGGTTATCATGTTCTGCTCAAAAATAAATCTTTCTAAAGAATTGGATTTGGCCAGGTGTTGTAGTACATGACTGTAATCCCAGCACTTGGGAGGCTGAGGCAGGAAGATCACCCTGAATTTAAGGCCAGCCTAAACTACCCAGTGAGACTTCCTGTCTCAAAAAAAAAAACAAAAAACAAAAAAAACCAAACAAACAAAAAAAACAAAACAAAGAAAAAAGAATATTTAATATAATGCAACCACATTAAAATCTTAATTAGAACATACTTTTTAAGCAGTGAGTTTCATACAGAGAAATACACTTGAAAGTTTTTTTTTTGTACCAGGGATTGAACTCATGACCTTGTTGTTGCCAGGCAGGTGCTTATGCCACTGAGCTAAATCCCCGGCCCCTTGAAAGTATTGCTAAGATTTTTCATTAATTGAATGTCATAACTTGACCCACTTACTCACTTCAAATAATCCTGGTTCTTTTTTTTTTTTTTGTCTTTTTCATTTTTATCGGTACCAGGGATTGAACTCACGACTGCCTGCTTGCAACGCAGGCGCTTATACCGCTGAGCTAAATCCCCAGCCAATAATCCTGGTTCTTTATATGTATTTAGTTTTTAAATAATTGAAGTAAAATTTACATTACATAAAATTAACCATTTTAAAGCACACAATTATGTGGTACTTGGTAAATATACAATGTCATGCAACTCCCACTTTCATCAAATTCCAAAAACACTGTCATCACCCCAAATGAAGGTCACAGGTAGCAATTAGGGAATTACTATGTAGCTTCTTCCTAGACTCTGGAAGTCACTATAACATTAACTTTAAACCATACTGAGGAATTTACAGATATAAAGCAAATATTTGAGAATACATTTGTTTTGAGACTGCCTTGCTGTGTAGTTCAGGTTGGCCTTGAGCTCACTAAGTATCCCAGGCTAGCCTCAAACTCATGGCAATCTTCCTGCCTCAACCTCCTTGACTGCTAGGATTAGAGACTCCACCAAGAACCTGTACACTTTGATGTAGCTGCACAGGGGGCTGGGGATTTAGCTCAGCGGCATAAGCGCCTGCCTTGCAAGCAGGTAACCGTGAATTCGATCCCTGGTACTGATAAAAACCGAAAAAGCCAAAAAAAAATCATCTGATGTAGCTGCACAGAAAAAAGACCGTAACTATTGTTTTCTCAATAATTTGATAATCCAATTTTTATTAACTATTTTATATACATTAATACCAAATTGTAAAAAGTTAAAGACATATTCAGAATTCCTTACACAATGAGCATACAAATACTTATTTATATTTCACACATAGTAGTGAAAATAAGATATAATAGTTATACCTACATAAAAATATGTACAAATCTTCAAGATGGATTTTGTTATTTGGCTTACAACATTATGTGTATATACTACGCACACACACACAAAGGATACCATTTTCAGAAAAATGTAACCAAAACCTTTTTTTTTCCTTCTTTGAAACAAGGTCTTGCTTTTTTGAAACAGGGTCTTGCAGTTCAAGGTAGCCTTGAACTCACTCTGTAGGCCAGGCTGGTTCTCAAACTTATAATGATCTTCCTGCCTCAGCCTCCTGAGTGCTGAGATTACCGGCGTGCACCACCATACCTGGCTAAAATCTCTTTTCTTAAAATTTAAAATTAAAACTGTTGATGATATTAATTACAACTGACAACTAAATCTTGGAAAAATTTAAACTGGATAGATAAATTAAACATTATACTTTTTTTTGCAGTGCTGGGGATAGAATCCATGACCTAGAGAATGCTAGACAAGCACTCTAATACTAAGGTAAATCCTTAGCCCCAACATTATGATGGTGCCCATGCACACACATGTGGGTATGTGTGTGTTACAGGCAAATCTCACTCTGTAGTACAGTCTGTTCTCAAACTCTTGATTCTCCTACCTCAGCCTCCGGGGTGCTGGGACTACAGGAATGTAACACCATGCCTGGCAACACTATGAATTTTAAAAACTAAGGTTTGCAGTTTAAAAATATATACTGATAAAATTTCAAAATTAATTAAGAATGGCTTATACATGTCATTCCAGATTTTGGAAACACGCTACAAAAAGTAAACAGTGAGGACTTGATTCTTTGGAAAGTTAATCTGGAAAACAACTTGAGGGTGGACCCAGGAGTCAAAACTCAATAGGAAACTTACGATACACTAATAATATTGAAAACAAAGAGGGAAAGTAATAAACTCTTACATCTATTTTAATATGGTTTTACTAGTTCTCAAGAGAACTACTAAGAATGACTGTACATGATGAATTACATGAATTACAATGAATTACATGATGACCTCAAAATTGGTATATTGGGCAAAGAATATAGCTCAGCAGCATAAGCACTTGCCTGACAAGCACAAGGTCCTGAGTTTGATTCCCGGTACCAAAAAAACAAAATAAAAACAACAAAAAAATCTCACAAAAATGGTATATGACACACTATTATGGTGCTACACTATTAAAGAGATTTAGTACATTATTTTTTTTTTGAGGCAGGGTCTCACTATATAATACAGGTTGGTTTTGAATTTAAGGGGATGCTTCTGCCTCAGCCTCCCAAGTGCTGGGATTACAAGAACGTTTAGTATCTAAGATTTTATCTGAATTTTATTCTACTGGCTTACGAAGCAGCTTCCTACTTTGTGAACTGCCTGATTTAATACAACAATCATATATAATTAAGTTAATGTTATGAAAAAACAAAATGCTAGTAGCTTAGAAATTGAGTAAGTACTCTTAATGGCTTTAATACCAGGGTAAGAGGCTCAAGACTGGAGACCAATGAACAGGAACAGTGTAGGGCTCAGGTAAAAAGCTGTTTATCCTCAAGGAGAGGAAGATCACAAGGAATCCAGACTATCCAAAATGGTAGTGGAATCTGGATGCAGGGTCACTACAGTGCACCAGGCACTGACTGGTGCATTACCCTTGGCCTAGGTACTATTAATCAACTCCTAACTTCAACAGCAAGTTAAAAATACAAATACTGCCAGGGATTTAGCTCCGCAGCATAACCACCTGTCTGGCAAGGGCGTAGTTGTGAGTTTGATCCCTGGTACAAAAAACCAAAAAAACCCAACTTCCAATCATACTTTGTAAAATTAATTATTTATCTTTGCATTACAAGCATAAGAGAGATTTTTAAGAAAGTTAAAAGATCATTTTTCTGCTTAATTGATCTTAAAAGCCCAAAGAACAAACACTTAAAATCCTATCACGATTAGTATTTTTTTTCCTGATTAGCATTTACAATGACACCCAAAACATTCCTATTGAGGGCCAGGGATTTAGCTCAGTGGCTCAAGCACTTACCTGGTAAATGTAAGGACCTGAGTTCAATCCCCAGTACCAAAAACAAAAACAAAAACAAATTCCTTTCCAATCCAATCCCAAATACATCTGTCAATGATATTTTGAAAAATATGAAAAAAAAGGGCTTAATTCCTATTTATATAATCCAGTGCTATTTATCATCTACAGAGCGGAAAAGTTTGAAGGATAGAGTCCCAACTTTGTGCAGAACAACCTGAAAGTGCTTTTATCAGAAATAGGAAAACATTGGGCTGGGGATTTAGCTCAGTGGCATAAGTGCCTGTCTTGTAAGCAGGCAGTCATGAGTTCAATCCCTAGTACCGATAAAGAAAAAAAAAAAAAAAAAAATAGGAAAACATTAATAGTTTGCTCTTTCACTGACAACATCTTGTAGTCGTTTAAGTAAAACATCATCATTTTCTTGGCAGAGGCGTTTGGCAGGTGATTCTGCATCTCCACTGATGGCTATTACACGCTTCTTGGTTCTCTGATCACCTTGTCTTATCATGTTGTTGATATCTTTCAAACTCTGTGCAAAAATAGAGGACATATATGAGTAAAATAGGGGAAAAATGCAAATAGCAAATAACTAATTTAACTGCATTTTCCCATCCTCTATCTTCTATTCAAATATAAACCATGAGATTAGAGATAACTTTGAACGTAGACCAGCCGAACAAGGGTGTCTAGAACTATTCTTTTTGGGTAGCTTTAAAAGATTGAGTTATTCAATGGAAACCACAAGAACTTCATAAACACATGGAAATTAAATAACACCATACTTGACAACCAATGGTCACAGATGAAATTAAAGAACAAATTAGACAGATTTTACAGTTGAATGATAACAACAATACAACATACTGGAAATTGTGGGACACAATGAAAGCAGTCTTCAGAGGAAAATTTATAGTAGTAAATACCCATAATCAGGAAAACAGACCAAGTACATATAAACAACTTAATGTTGAACCTCAACTTCAGAAAAAGAACAGGCTAAACTAAAAGCTCATACAAGGGAGGAAATTAAAAAGATCAGAGCAGAAATTAACACACTGGAGACTAAAAAAACAATGCAGAATGAATCAAAGACTTGGTTCTTTGAAAGGTTAAATAAAATTAAGAAACTCTTTAGCCAATCTTATCAAAAAAAGGAAAGAAAAGATTCAAATCTATGCAATTAGGAATGAAAAGGATGAAATCACAACAGATCCTGCAGAAATCCAGAAAATCAGCTATGCCTATACTTTGAAAACTTGTATTCTAAGACATATGTATATTTTCATGATTTTGACTATTATCAAATAGTCCTCTTTTTTTTTTTTTTAAACCGGTACCAGGGATCGAACTCACAACTGTGTGCTTACAAGGCAGATGCTTATGGAAAACTTGTATTCTAACAAGATGGAAAATATAGGAGAAATGGACAGATTCCTAGATACATATGAATTACCACAGCTGAATCAAAAATATAATCCTAAATAACCCATTATTAATAAGTGAAACTGAAGACTTAATTAAAAACCTATCAACAAAGAACAGCCCAGGCCCTCTTTCTTTTCTTTCTTTCTTTTTTATTTTTCGGTAAAGGTGCTTGAACTCACGACCTAGCACTTGCCAGGCAGGAACTTATGCCATTGAGCTAAATCCCCGGCCCCAAACACCACTATTTCTCAGCCTCTTTAATGAAATTGAAAGGGAAGCAATCCTTCCAAATTCATTCTGGGAAGCAAGCATTACTCTGATTCCAAAACCAGAGAAGGAGCCAACTAAGAAAGAGAATTACAGGCCAGTTTCCCTGATGAACAATGATGCAAACATCCTCAATAACATCCTGGCAAACAGACTGCAGCAAATTGTTGAAAAGACTGGGCTGGGGATTTAGCTCAGCGGCATAAGCGCCTGCCTTGCAAGCAGGCAGTCGTGAGTTCAATCCCTGGTACCGATAAAAAATGAAAAAGACAAAAAAAAAAAAAAAAAAGTTTAAAAAAGAAAAGACTGCACACCATGATCCAGTAGGATCCGCCCCTGGGATGCTGGGATGGGTTAACATAAGTAAATCCATAAATGTAATACACCATATTAACAGAGCCAAAGACAAAAATCACAGGATCATCTCAACAGATGCAGAAAAAGCTTTTGACAAGGTCCAGCACCCATTCATGATAAAAACCCTACAGAAAATTGGAATAGATTCTACTGGAATAGAAACAATTCTTTATCTCAATCTGATAAAAGCCATCTATGACCAACCAACAGTCAACATCATACTAAATGGACAAAAACTGAAAGCGTATACTCTGAAATCAAGAACATGACAAAGATGTCCACTGTCTCTACTCTTATTCAACAGTCCTGGAAACTTTAGCTGGAGCAATTAGACAACTTAGATGACCCCAAAAACTCCACAAAGACTTCTGAATTTCATAAGCAAATTCAGTAATGTAGCTGGTTACAAAGTCAACACTCAAAAATCAATAGCCTTTCTGTACACGAATAACAAATTCACTGAGAGAAATCAGGGGAACATACCTTTCACAATAGCTTCCAAAAAAGTGAAATATCTAGGAATCAATCTAACAAAGCATGTAAAAGACCTCTATATTGAAAACTACAGGGGCTGGAGGTTTAGCTCAGTGGCATAAGCGCCTGCCTTGCAAACAGGCAGTCGTGAGTTTGATCCCCGGTACCAATAAAAGGGAAAAAGAAAAAAGTCTGTAAGGCTGGCTGGTCCGAGTGCAGTGGTGTTTACAACTAATTGATCAAAACCAGTTACAGATTTCTTTGTTCCTTCTCCACTCCCACTGCTTCACTTGACTAGCCTAAAAAAAAAAAAAAAAAAAAAAAAAAAAAAAAAAAAAAAGAAAAATAAAAAAGAAAACTACAATACCCTGAAAAAGAAGACTGAAGAGGATATCAGAAAATGGAGAGCTATCCTGTGCTCTTGGGTAGGAAGAACCAATATAGTGAAAGCGGCCATACTTCCAAAACCGTAATACAGATTCAATGCAAACCCAACCGAACTTCCAATAGCATATCTCACAGAATTAGAGAAAACAACTGTAGAATTCATCTGGAACATGAAAAGACCTAAAATAATAAAGGCAATTCTAGGCAACAAAGGCAAGGCTGGAAGCATCACAATCCCTGACCTGAAGTTAAACTATAAAGCTACTATGATTTAACAACAACAACAACAACAAAAAGCATGGTACTGGTAAAAAAAAAAAGAAAAGAAAAGAAAAAGAAGAAAGAAAAAAAGGCCTGAAGATCAATGGAACAGATTGGAAGATGTAGAAAAAACTAGACATACTCAGCCACCTTATTGTTATTAATAATTTTTTTTTTATCGGTACCGGGGATCGAACTCACGACCGTCTGCTTGAAAGGCAGGTGTTTATGCCGCTGAGCTAAATCCCCAGCCCATCAGCCACCTTATTGTTGACAAACGTGCCAACCACATTCAGTGGAAGATAGCCTCTTTAATAAATGGTGCTGAAAAAACTGGTTCTGTACTTGCCAAAGATTAAAAATGGACCTAGCATCTTTCATTACACACTAAACTAAATTCAAAATGGGTCAAAGATCTAAACATTGAAACAGAAATATTAAATCTGCTAGAAGACAGGATACATAAAACTCTTGAAGACACTGGTATAGGCAAAGACTTCAGAAATAAAACCCTGATCTCACAGAACTATCACCAAGAATCAAAAACTGGAATCTCACCCTACTAAAAAGCTTTTACACAACAACAGAAACCACCAACCGAGTGAAGAGACAACCCACAACATGGGAGAAAATGTTTTCCAGACTTCCGGGAGAACATGGCGGACAGATAACAGCAACTACCGGAGGCTCTCTGAAAGACTCGGCTCAGAATCCAGGAATGGTGCGGACTAAGGAGACATAAGCAGGTGGAGATATGCTCTGCTGACTCAGGAACGAACTGGGCTGAGAGAAACCAACTTGGAATGCAGTCCTGGTGCTAAAACAGGAACAGAAAAGCCTCAGTGTGGAGGCTGAACCCCGCGCCATTGTAAGCCGCGATTTGGGTTTCCCGCCGCGCGGCGGCTGGCTGCCTCTACAGTGGCTCGGCAAGGAGAGAGACACACAGAAGCTCTGAGAACGGCAATCTGCGAATGGCAGGGAGGCGTGCACTGACTTGTGGTGAGGTGAGTGAGAGAAACTGACACTCTACCACAGTTTGACTCCAGCGGAGGACTTTCTGGGCCCGAGCAGTCCTGCGGGAGCAGGGCGCGGTGGCGACTCCAGCCACACATCCCCCTCTCGGGCGGGATTGGTGAAAAGTGCCTGGCCTGCATGACGCTGCCGGCGGACCTGGTAGGCTGTCCCAACCCAGATCCCAGAGCCTGACGGTGGCTGGGAGGGGAGACACGTAGGCTGCCTGGTCCGTAACTCCCTGGTGCGCAGCGGTGAGCGGGAACATCTAACCGGCGCAATTCGATCAGGCTGTGGCTGACGGGGAGAGAAGCTGGGCCTCTTATATAAGCTTGCATATATAAGGAACAGAGAATATGGGAAGAGGCAGCAACAAGAAAGACTCCTCGGCCCCCAATTCTGAGAAACAGGCAATAGCAGACACCGCACCAATACACATAAGGCGCCATATAGAGAGCCTCATAGACCAATTCAGGAATGAAGTTATCAACGACCTGAAGCTAGAAGTATGCAGAATAGTTAGAGAAATGCTAAGTACCACCCAAGAAAAAACAGGCGGTGGAATGGAAGAACAGAAAAAAAGGGGAGAATTGTTTGATGGAGAAAACAGAGAAAGCATAGAATACGTGAAGCAGGTTCAAAGAGACTACCAAGATACTAAGAAGTCTATCGAAGACTGGCATAACAGCTTGAAAGAAACTAAGGACAGACTATCTGAACTGGAGGGCAGACTTGTAATATGGGAGAATGAAATGAAAAACTTCTTAAAAATAACAAAGAAACAAACAGCAATAATACAAAGACAAGAAGATGATAAGAGGATCCATAACTTAAGGATTAAGAACATAAAAGAAGAAGTAGGGACACAAACAAGTGAACTACAAAAGCTACTCACAGAAATAATCCAGGAGAATTTTCCTAATTTAGCAAAAGGTAAAGATACTCAGATGTATGAGGCATACAGGACCCCAGCTACCTACAACCCAAACAGAGCAACACCCAGGCATATAATAATAAAAATTCCAGAAATTCAATACAAGAACAGAATATTAAAAGCTGTCAGAGACAAGAAACAGACCACTTACAAGGGAACACCCATCAGAATTACAGCAGATTTCTCTGCACAAACCATCAAATCACGAAGAGCGTGGGGGGAAATAATTCAAGCTTTGAAAGATAATAATCTCCAGCCAAGATTGAGATATCCTGCACAACTGTCCCTGGAAATTGATGGAAAAACAAGGTGCTTCCAGGATAAAGAGGAACTGGAGGAATTTGCAACCACCAATTCAACTCTACAGAGAGTATTGCAGGATATTCTAAAAAAAGAAAAATACAAAGAATCCAGAAATAATGGCAGAGAGGCCACAACGAATGGAGCAGAGAACAAAATGAAGAAGACAAACTGACAGCTACTGACAGAAAAAGAGCTCAACAGAAATGAGGCAGAGAAGATTGGATGATAGGAACAGCTATTTTGGAGAAAATGACATCTTAATAGGTAATACTGATTTAGTATCATCTTGTTTTGAAGTCTCATCTAGCTTTTGTCCTTCTGTCTCCAATGGTCTAAATAGGCTGTATCTTATTGGATTTTATTATGTACAATAGTATAAGCAAAAACCTTTTAAAGACAAGGAGATTATACAGAAACCATTGTTCATTTTCTGTTAGTCGATTCTAAATACTCTGTAATGCTGTCATTCTCTTGAATGGGTTTACATTGTTTTGATATACTTAATGCTACAGTATACGAAGTTGTACTCAAGGATTTCAAAGAAAGAGACAATATGGTAACTACTTTTAGGTTAGGATTATCTGGTGGTGAAACACTATTCTGCTTAAATGGTTATGTTTTGATCTGCGCTGTTTCGTTGTTATGCCCTCTTTTATCTCAATCTCCACTCCATTATTTACTTTTTTATCTTTATCCTTTTAATTAAAGGAAAAAAATAGCAGGATATATTATAGTAACCCACTTTGACTTTTCATTACCTTGATTTAAAGCCCTGTATTACTCTCACCATCTGGTTTTTAACTGATGTTCCCCTATTCTGTTTTGCTGGATAGTATCAGGTTCGAAAGTTTAGACATCAGCTGTGAAGATGAGATTCATTATGACGCCCATTCTTGTTGACTTTTATCTACTTTTGAAGACCTACAATGTCTCCAGTGTTTTGGTTTTGTCGGTTTTATTCTTTACTGTTTTGTTCAATTGTATTATAACTAACGATATAGGCAATTCTATTAGAGATAGCGGGAGGCATTATGGTAACCATTGTTGATCACCTTGTATTATGTTTTTACATTATCTATTATGTCCACCCTTTTGACTTGACCGATTCTGTTCTGTTATGTCACATTTGGTTTTACTCTCTTCCAAAAAAGTAATAAGAACCGTGGGAGCAATGAAATCCAAAATGTGTAATAGTCATGGTACAAAAGAGAGGAAAAGAAAGTGCTCCAAACTATATAACTGCATGTATATTTAAGTGTATAAGATAGAAAATGATATCACAGAGTTTTATTGGATCAATGAACAGAACTGTTTGCAGTATCATTGATGGAATGTCCACTTTACAAGCTTTAATTTTGTGACTTGAACAATTATTTCTAAGATGACAATATGTAATCCATTAACTAGTGATTTCCTACTGTTCATTTTTTTTTCTGTAAATCTGTATAACTTGTACCCTTTCCGTACTTTTTTTTTCTTTTCTCCTTAAATAAAATTAAAAAAAAAAAAAAAAAAAAAAAAGAAAATGTTTTCCAGCTGTTCCTCAGACAAAGGATTACTATGGAGAACACATAAAGAACTAAAAACAAAACAAAATAAAAAAATCAGTCCTCCCAGATTTAAAGACCCAGTCCAAAAATCACATCTGAGATGAATATACACTTCTCAGAAGAATACAAACAGCAAATAAATATGTGAAAAAATGTTCAATAGCACTGGTCATCTGAGAGACGCAAATTAAAACCACACTGAGATTTCACCTCACCCTGAAAAGATCGGCTAGTATCAAGAAATCAAGCAATAACAAATGCTGGAGGGGCCATGAGGAAAAAGGAAGTTTCTTCCACTGCTGGTGGGAATGCAGACTGGTGCAGCCAACTATAGAAATCAGTGTGGAGATTCTTTTTTCTTTTTTTGTTTTTTTCTCAGTACCAGGGATCAAACTCAGGACCGCCTGCTTGCAAGGCAGGTGCTTATGCCGCTGAGCTAAATCCCCAGCCCCTAGTGTGGAGATTCTTCAAAAAGCTAGGATTGGAGGTCCCATTCAATCCAACCATTCCCCTTCTGGATATCTTCCTAAAAGAATTAAAAACATCGTACCACAGTGATATACGTGTACCATGTTTAAAGCAGCACAGTTTATAATAGCCAGATCTTGGAAACAACCTAAACACCCATCAACTGAGGTATGGATTAAAGACGATGTGGTATTTTTTACTCAGGCATAAAGAAGGATAAATTGAACACTTTTATAGTTAAGTGGATGCAGCTTGAGAACATACTCATTAGTGAAATAAATACTACACGTGTGTAAATGTCGTATTGTTTCTTAGTGTGACAAGCTAAAAGAAAAAAGATGTATCTATGTATGCATATAGTTATACTACTGACTTCTCTGAGTTTACTGAAGAGAAAGATTTGGACAATTGAATTCAGATGTCATGTGTTCTGGGATTTGGGGATGACAGTGCGCAGCGTATGTATCATTGTTGCACCAATTGATGTGTTTTGAAATTTCTCGTCATATTTTTTTTTCTTTTTAACTTTGAATACAATGGATTTGGAAAAAAAAAAAAGATGGATTAATCTTATCTTAGTTGCTGTAGTTCCTAAATCAGAAGTAGCAGAAGCATTTAGGAACTTATAGAAACACAATTCTCAAACCTCAAGCTCTACTTTCTGAATCAAGACATTCTAGGAGGTGCCCGGGATTTAGCTCAGTGGCTTAAGTGCCTGCCTGGCAAGTGTGAGGTCACACACACACAAAGACACTCTAGGGCTGGGGAAGAATCCAGTATTTTTAGTGGTGGTACTGGGGATCAAATCCAGGGGCACTCTACTATTTAGCCACCTTAGGAACCCTGTTTATTTTATTTTGAGGTAGGGTTTCACTAAATTGCACAAGCCAGGCCCTCTCAAGTAATTGAGAAAAAAGGTATGTGCCACAGCGCCTGACATAATGCATGTTTCTTTGGGTCTTCCCAATGATTCTGATACTTCTATAAAGTCTGAGATCCTCTTCTTCAGAGTGATGCTTTTTAATGTCTTTACTAATTGTTGGGGATCCTGTTAAAATGCAGGATCATATTTAGCAGTGCTGGTATGAGGCCTGTGATTCCGTGTTTCTAACAATTTGTCAGGTAAGGCTGATGTACTTGTTTATAAACCACACTCTGAGTAGCAAGTTTTCAGCAGATCTGTGTAACATGTATCTTAACAAGTATAACTCATGAATGGTTTTATAAGTAACTGGTCCAATCTTTGATCCCATGAAACAATCTCTTCCACATATTCTTACAGGAAACTATTTTCTATGAGGAAGAAACACAGGTCTAAATCATAATCAATTTTCTTGCTCATGTATGTAAGAACACAATGGGCACCTATGGAACTCAGCAGCAAACTTAAGAGGTAGGGAGTGGCCACTGCATTCAGGGAAATTCTTCTAGTTCATACTGAAAGGGATTGCTGGCCCAGACTAGACACTATAACCAGAAAAAGACTCAGCTGGAATTAGGGAGCTCCTGCCTCCCCCGCCCCTAGAGATTTACCTGTAACTCTATACCCCCACCTTAGAAACCTACCTCTGGCGCCAAACTAAGACCAATGGGCTACCTGTACATCCCTAATGCCCCTTGGGGTCCACCCCAGACCAAGGCTACTTATGTGCCTCACTCCACGTGTTTGAGGGAGAGATCGCTGGCCCCAGGATGGAGATGCCACGCCCTGGGGGCCGGGGGTGTTTCTCCCTGCATTCCCGAAATAAAGGTTATTTATATTTTATACTTCTTATCTTTTTAGCCACCACCACCGGGCAGTCCTTCCCTCTCCCCCCTTCCTCAGACCTATCACATACCAATACCAATCCTGGCTTGTAGAGACTTAACAAACATACCTGCTTGACTCTTGATTACAGAAAACATGCTAAAACTAATAGTTTATATTTTATTAGTAACTTTAGAAAAAAAAGAAAGATTAATGATTATAAGTCAGTAGTCTAAAATTCAAATTTTTGGAAAGTCACTGAAAATCCAATTTGTAGTGTTATTTGAAAATCTGTATTATAATCCAGCTTGGTACTGGGAATTGAACTCAGGACCTCTCGCTTGCCAGGCAGGTGTTATGCCACTGAGCCATACCCATGATCTTATAATCCAGCTTTTAATACATATATGTACAAAACTCTTTTGGAGTAAAGTCTGTGTGCATCTTACCTTAGAAGGGCTGCCATTGAACTTGTACAACAGCGCGCTCCTTGGTGTGAGGCTAGACCCATTCTTGTGTGGGGAAACATAAATGGAATGCTGCTGGGAAATGCGGCGTGGTGAGCCTGTCTGTTGCTTAATATGTGGAAAAGGAGACAGTGGTGGAGCATCCATCTAAAAAAATCAAATTTTAAGATAAAAATTTTTGTTTTTGTTTTTTCATAATTTTATTTTGTCTTTTTCATTTTTATCGGTACCAGGGATCGATCTCATGACTGCCTGCTTGCAAGGCAGGCGCTTATGCCACTGAGCTAAATCCCCAGCCCCTGTTTTTGTTTTTTAAAAAAAATCCATCATATTTTTACTTTTATTGTATCTCCCACCTAGGAGTTAATTATATTGTAAGAACTTGTTTATGGTTGAAAAAAGCAAAGAATGAGCCATTATATGTTTTCAACAATTATTAACAGATAAACTAGAATTTATTTTCTTGGATTTCCTTTCCAGGAGATTTTTTAATTAGTAAAAATTCCAGGAAGTCACCAGAACACGATAGCCCTCATATGCATGCTTCAAAGTAGGATGTAGCTAAATGCTAAAATGGGAGCACAATACACAAGAGGCTACATGCTCAATCTCCAGCACCAAAAACAAAGTAGGAATAAAGAACAAGCAATGCGCTAACATTTACAATAAGAATTTCTCTACACACACACACACACACACACACACACACACACACACGTATACACACAGAGTAATGAAAGTAATGAAGAGAAAATAGAAACAGCCTGAAGGTTGACTTTGATATGAAACAAACATGTAAATAGAATAGTATTGAAATGCAAAAGATTTAGAAATAATTAGGGAAGGGATTTCATTTTACTTTAATATTCTCTATGACAGAAACAGCATAAGTGGAGAGGGTCCTTAACATCATCTTCATTTGAAGCTAATAAAATTATTTTCAACTGATAGTAAAGATATTCATAGCAAAGCACATGACACAGAAAGGTAAATTAATGGTGTAGGATAAATATGGCTTCTGAGGCTAGCTACAGACTATACTTCTTGAAAGTGACACAGACAGAAATGTAGACACACATACAGATACACACACATGGTTACAGGTTAGATGGATGTGGCTCTCAATAAAGCCTCTTTTATAGCTAAATTCTGGTTTCCTGGAAACTAGCTTACTCATAACATTTTCTCAGGTCTGCTACAATTGCCAAACTGCATAAAAATTTCTTAGTATTACCTCTATTACCTCTAGGGTTACTTTCTTTCTTTTTCTTTATATTGAAACCCCCACTCACTTATCTCATAATCTAATAAACAAAGCAAAAACAACAGAAATATACACAAAATTGCTGATATATATATGTTCTCATTTAGTTCTTCTCCATACAAATATATAATCCTAGCAATAAAATTACAGAATAAATAAAATTCCCATGACTTCCTATTTCTGTTGTATTATGACTAATCTCTAAGTTAGTAGTTAATCTCTAAGTTACTAATTAATTTCTAGTATGTATTCTCCTAGGTAAAGCACTAATGCAGCTTTAAATTATGAAACATTTATGTAGAAAAAAACATTCAAACTAATCAACTATGTAGATATAATAAAGTAGTAAAACTTAAAATGTACCATATGGTCCTGATTTGACAGGTCATATTTCAATGCAAATGACTTCACTCTTCCTACATATATTGTATTGTAAAATTTGATAAGGTCACCTCTTTCTTCTTTCACTGGCCCACTAGAACAGTCAGGTGTTTTTATGGTCTCTTCCAAGTCTGTTAAAAAGAATTCAGTGTTGTGGTAAGTGTACTTCAATAAGAACTTGGTATGTAAAAAAAAAAAATCACAAATCCTTAACAAAAACATTTTTAGAGTGAGTTCCGCAGCCCACTACATTGTGTAGAAATCAAATTGCAATCTAGAGAAATGCAAGCATGTGAACTGAACTTGATGCTGTTTTCCTTAGGTACCACTTCAGCAAGCTTGTTTTCCAACCAAAGCTTTTCAGCTCATTGTCATTGGTGACCCTTAAAGGGGTACTGTCCCTGGTTGGGGTGTAGCTAAGCTCCACAGTGTAGGTGGCAATGGCAAACTCTTGAGTTTCAGATAACAAAAGTGCCTGCAGGTATTCTTATTGGCTCTTTGAAAAAGGTGGAAAGACTAAAAGATAAATCAAGGAAAAAGCAGTAAGTTGTTTGTCTTTATCTTCCTGCAATAATGGTAAATGGCAGGTGTCCCAAGAGTCTTATATTCCTAAGCTGAGTATGGTCATACATGCTTGTAATCCCAGCACACCTGAGACTGAAGCATAAAGATTTCTGTGAGTTTGAGGCCAGCCCAGGATACACAGTGAGTTGTAGGCCAGCCAGAAATACAAGGAGAAACCCTGTCTTGAAAAACAACAAAACAAAACAAAATGTTATTTTCCTAGCCACAGCAGGAACCCTTGTGCTTAGTGTTTAGTTACTACTCTGACTTGTAAAATGACAGGTTGGATCCACAGATTCCTATTTATTTCTGTCATACTGGGATAGCTTCTAAATCTGGGCAGAGTTTCACTCCACTCTTTTTTGGGGAACAGTATTATAAACTATAATCTTTGTACATAAAAGAATCACCTGTTTAGGGAGGTAATAAAGTCACTATCAATTAAAATTCAGCATATGAAAAAACTTTCTCATTTCAACATGTTGTACTGCAAACATTGAGAACATGGGTGGACACATGCCTTCACCTTACAAAAAGCAGAAAACTCAAACATTGTACATGGGTTTAGTAGTTGTAGGGAAACTCCATAAACTATCAGTCTTAATTTGGATGTCTTTTTTCTCTCCATGATGCTAGGGATCAAGCTCAGGGCCTCATGTATCCTAGACAAATTATCTATGGGAAGCTATATCCCCCAATCTGGATCTTTCTTTCATCCTTGGTATTTTTGAAAGACCTTGAGAGAGGGGAATCAGTGTAGTTAATCAAGTTAAGGAAGTGCTGTATATTATACTGGAAAGTCAGAATGCATGTTATAATGAAGGCTCTGATGAGATGCCAGCCTTTTCCTGTGAGTTGGTGCGATTCACAGAGTGTAGGGGAAAAAGAACAAAAAGTCAATAAGAAGCAAGTCCTCCCTGTGAGCTGGCATCATGTGCAGCCCATTGGTGGGGAGGACCAGACAGCAACCTTTCCTGTGAGTCAGCACCATTCGTGGACTGTGGGGGAAGAGAACAAGAACTCAACAAGAAGCAAGCTCTCCCTGTGAGTTGGCACCATGAGTGTGCTGCTTGACGGAGAGCCAGATGCCAGCTCTTTCTAGTGCATGGACTGGGAGACAAGAAGTATTCCCCCACCCCCACCCCCTACCCCAGTAAGCAAAGAGCAGATCTCAAGAAACACAGGGTGTGATGGTAGCTATTGATGTAAAATACAACTTAACACTTTAGTGTTTAGTGTGCTTCCCTGACTTTGTAAGCCTAAAGCCAGTAGTTTGATCATTTATTCAGAGGGTAACAATATGGAACGCAGCATCTATAGGGGAATCTCCTTCTGAAGGTGGTAGCTACTGTTATTCCCTATCATCTTGTTTTAAAGTCCTGTATCATTCTCATTATTTTGTTGGGTTGGGTTTTATTCTGTTTTGTCTAGTTTGGTTTTATTATATCCAATGGCATGGGCAGCCATTTCAAAGATAACAAGATATATTATGGTAACCATTTTGGATTTACTATTATCTTGTTTTTAAGTCCTTTATTATGTTCATTGTTTTGCTTTTATTGGTTCTATTCTGTTCTGTTTTGTTTGATTTTTACTATGTCTGAGGATATGGGCAGCTATTTGGAAGACAACAAAGAGGCATTATGATAATCATTGTTGATTTCCTATTATCTTGTGTTGAAGTCCTATATCACACTGTTTTACTTTAATTGGCTTTATTCTGTCTTATTTTGCTTGGTTTTATTCTCTTTAAAAGAAATAAAGGGTTCTGAGAAATACTGAGGGTGGCTCATTTTAATGTCACAGTTTCCTCATTTGTGGGTGGGTATCAGAAATCAAACTCAGAATCTTATGCCTGCCATGTAGGTGTTGCGCCATTGAAATCCCTGACCCCATTTCCTCATTTTTATGCATAGTTTCTCTTTCTCTATCAGTTACACAGCACTACCATCCTGAGGAACACTATTTCAAAGCATGCTGGCTTAGTGCTATGGTTTGAGTGTACCCACCAAAACTCATTTTGAAGTATCATCTCTACTGTGAATTTTTTTTTTTGTCTTTTTCATTTTTATCGGTACCAGGGATCGAACTCACGACCGTCTGCTTGCAAGGCAGGTGGTTATGCCACTGAGCTAAATCCCCAGCCCCTCTACTGTGAAGTTTTAAGAGACCAGATCAGATAGGATCTTTAAGAAATCAATGGAAATTGAATACTGACTAAGTAGTACTAGAGGCCTGGGTTCAATCCTCAGCCAAAAAGAAAAGAAAGAAAAACAGAGGTGATCAGGTCATGAAGACTTGGTTGTCATGATGGGTTAGCCCACTCAAGGATTAATGAATGAATTGTTCTCAAGAGTAGGTCTGTTATCAAAGTCGGTTTGGGTATCTCGTGTATGTGCTGCTTTTGCTACATGATATCCTGTGCACTGCTTTAAGAATTTGCAGAATCCTCCACACCAAAAAGACCTTCATGAGAAGTGTGCTGTCAACCTTCAACTAATCTCAGGTATTCTGTTACAGCAACAGAAAATGGACTAAAATACTTGATAATAACTGTTTATATTAATCTCATCATATGAATCAACTACAATTATTTAACATCCATTTTGAATTAGATTTTTTTTTTTTTTTTGAGACAAGGTCTCCCTCTGTAGTCCAGGCTGGCCTTCCACTTACTATGTAGCCCAGGATGGCCTCAAAATGGCAGTGATTCTCCTGCCTCACCCTCCCACATACAGGGATTACAGATGGGTGCCACCATGCCTGGCAAGGATTAGAAATTTTTTAAAGTAGAGAATATAGTCTATATTTCTGTTATTCTAACTCCAGTTGTTAATATTTACCCAAAATAAGATGCTACATTTTGTTTAAACTAAAACATTAAAAGCTCTCTGAGACCCTGGATTCTAACTAAACATGATTTTTCTTAGCTATCTTTTCATTTCATAATAGATGTCTGTTCTCCTCTATGTACGAGAAAGATCTTTACCTTTCCAGTTCATCAAGAACCTTAACATTCTCAAAAGCAAAATCTCAGGGTGCCTAGTAATTATTTTATCACACATATTTTAAGACATGGAACTTAGGGAAGACTGGAAAAGAGAATGTGATCAAGCTTTGTGTGTGCATAGTGTTATTTCCCTCAGAAGGTAGGGAACTCTGCTTCCCTACACCTAATTTTTTTGTGTTTGTTTTTCTGAAAGTGCATTGCTACATAGATCAGGGTGGACTTGAACTCATGATGTATCCCAGGTTGGTCTCAACTCATGATGCTTCTTCTGCATCAGCCTCCCAAGTGCTAGAATTACAGATGTGTACCACCACACCCAGCTCAAGTGTGATATTTAAATAGCAATTATTTAATTTTATTTTTTGACTGACCAGACTGTAAATTTATTTAAAAAGGAAAAAACCACCTGCTTTGTGAGTAGCAAAACAATCCTCTGATGTTAGATACATTCCAGCTAAAGTTGTGAGCATACAAACATCATTGTTTTTTGTTGTTGTTGTTTTGGTTTTTTTTTCTTTTTTTTTTTTTATCAGTAACGGGAATCGAACTCACGACTGCCTGCTTGCAAGGCAGACACTTATGCCGCTGAGCTAAATCCCCATCCCTGAGCCCATCTCTTTTGAAGATACTTAAAATATCTGATCCAGATTCTAAGGGAACGTTTAACAGAAATTCTCTTTGAGCATCCACCAAGCTCTGAGGAACTGATCCCCACACAGTGTGGAAGAAGCCTGACCTCAGGCATGTAGCACCAGATCCCTCACAGCTTCCCTAAATAGTAATTATTTTATACCTAAGTATGAATTTGTTGATAGAACCAACAAATTTGGAAAGCTGTCCTTCCCAAAGAGGTGTTCTTTGATTTGTACAAGTTCACATCATAGCACCTAAGCTCTGGGAATTAGAACCTAACTTATGGTTTCCCTGAGACCATTATCACTAGATACTATGTCTGTTCCATGCCAGCACTACTGTGCATGATCTGTAAGACAGGCTTTTGTTTGCCTGTTAATAAATTAATAAATGTACGTATAGCTAAATTTGATCTTAATCCTTTAGGTTGTACAGTGAGTAGCTGACTCTGACTCATCTCATCTCAAATTTCTTTGGCAGTACATATCAAAAAGAAATTGTGGGGGCCAGGAATTTAGCTCAGTGGCATAAGCAACTGCCTGGCAAGTGTGAGATCATGAGTTCAATCCCTAGCACCAAAAAAAAAAAAAAAAAAAAGGAAAAGAAACTGTGCTCCTATTACTGTACCTTTTTGCTTACTTGTGCTTTCCTTTTTTTTTCAGACAGAGTCTAGTTTGAGATTACTTGTGCTTTCTAAACTTCATTGATTCCTATATTCCAGACACTTGCTGGAAGTTAGTTTCTCATACAGAAAACACAACAGGGAAGAGAAAGAGAATTTCCCAATTAAACTCTAATCCTTGATTTTTGTAGGATAAAAAAACCACCAAAGATAGGTAAAGAACATGCCTGAAAAACACAGAAAGGAATCTTTTGGTATTTTGTCCAGTTTACCATCTTATGTACTACTTATGGCTCAGAAATAATTTACTTACACAAAAAGCTTGTGGCCTATATAACCTTAAAGGAGTCAGTTTGTAAAAGATTATCAAAGAATCTTTCTAGTGGGTGAAATCTTGTAAGTTAGATCCCAGTAGAAGCTATAATGATCATGGATATTTGTGCAATTTAAAAGGGCTGTGGGTATAGCTCAGTGCTGTAGTATCTTCCTAGCATGCTTAAATTCTGGGTTTAATCCCTAGTACTTCTATAAAAAAAAAGCAAACAAAAAAATGGCCTTTGGGTCAGGGATTTAGCTCAGCAGCCTAAGCAGCTGCTTGGCAAGTGCAAGGTTGTGAGTTCAATCCCTAGAACCAGAAAAAAAAAAAAAAAAGGGCCTTGGACATGAATTTTCTCTAGGAATTTTTCCTAAGGATATAGATCTAAGAATAAACTATAATGGCAAAGTTGGGTTCAACTGGAAGCCTACATAGTGAGATTAAATAACTAAATATGGTACATACACATACATGTACACATATATACATATTAAATATATGAGATTAGAGTGTGGCTCAGTGATAGAGTGCTTGCTTAGCATGGATGAGATTCTGGCTTTGATTCCTACTGCCACAAGAAGTAACTGAAAAGAAAAGAAATGGGCAAATGAGGCATATGAATATTATTTGATTTTCCTTTATTTGAAAAAAAGATTATTATCTGAAGTTTTACCATGATTGTAACAATAGGGTCTGGACTGACATGTAATGGCAGAATCACCTGTATCAGTGGTAAGCCTTTTAGAGCTTGCAGTGATTAGCAAACAGCCTGCTGATGCACACATGCCATAGACTGATGACAACTGCCCTATATACTTATGAACAGGACATCTTTGTAATTGTCTCCTCACAGAGCTCACTGATAGCTATCTGTAATACAGATTTTTATATTTAATTAAATGTCTTATGTGCTTTATTAATATAAATGAGTAAACTAGTTCTATGGAAAGACCTGCCTCTTTTTATTTCAAACTTCTTTCTTTTTTAAAACATTTGAGCCAGGTGTGGTGGTCCATGCCTGTTATCTCAGTATCCCAGCTGTTGAGAGGCTGTGAAGAGGACTGGAAGTTCAAGTCCTATTTGAGTAACTTAGTGTGACCCTGCCTCAAAAAGGAGTAAGGATATAGCTCAAGGCCCTGGTTTAACTTACAGTACTCAAACAAAACACTTTTTAAAAACCCCACATGTAGAGCCAGGCATGGTGGTGCATGCCTATAATCCCAGCACTTAGGAGGCTGAGGCAGGAGGATTATTGCAAGTTCAAGACCAGACTGGGCTACAAAGTGAGCTCAACGTCAGCCTGAACTGCATAGTGAGACCCTGCGTCAAAAAGACAAACAAAAACATAAAACCAAAAAACCCACATGCATACTGTCTAACCCGCCTACCTCACAATTCTGTTTCCTGATATGCTGTATTATGTAATCAAAAGTACACTATACATAACACGTTAAATTGAGTCACTTACCACCATCTGTCATTTCAAAATCACCACTTATCTCATTATTATATGTCACAATTTCTCTTGGAATACTTTTCAAAAGAACACTTCTATATACCTATAGGTTAAAGAGGGAAAAAAAGGATTGTTGAGCCATAAAGAGGCAGAAGTTATGCAAAATCAAGCTAATTAAAAACGTATGTCATATGAGTGATAAGGGTAAAATCCTAGTGTTGGAATAGGGAACACTAGGAAGAGCCTATTACTTAAAATGTCACTTAGTTTACTAAAAAGAATGACTGAAAAAGAATGACTGATGAGCAGGTAGTACCAAACTAAGGCAACCTCAAAGACTTGAATTCAGTCCTCCTCTTAATTTCTTACATAAGAATAATTTGGTCTCATTGGGCTGGTCCTACCCCATTACCATTTACTTTTTGGGATCATATGAAAACATTTTCCCCTCTCTGCCCCTAAACTCTTTCCAACTGCCACAATACCTACAAAAGCATGATCCATTCTACTTCATCATATAGGTTACTGGTATTGAGAGGATATTTAGGAAGGAGTGGCTTGTCCCAGGTTTGATTGATACTGATGTCACCTTAATGGTCTTTAGAGACAGTATGGACCTCTCTAGACTCTGATCCTGAAGGATTTTCCCTGAGGAAGTCCAGAAACTCTTACTGTGTCACAGGATATTTTGTTTGTTTGTTTGTTTGTTTTGTTACAGGATTTCAAAATGCCTCAATTTTCTCTCCAAATGTCTCTATTCTGCTCATTATTGGTACATTTTGGGGATTAAAGAAAGAAGTCAATCTATTTTGGGGCTGTCTTAGGAGGAGATTTGACTACTTGTCCTACGTCTGATATCTGTCTATGACATCCAGAGACACAGAAGAGGTCATTATACTCCCTAAGAGCAGAGCAACAAGGTTCTGAAGTGGTCAAAGCTTTAAGGCAACCTGTTCATATCCTTCAGCTCCAACACTAACAATGCAAAGGAAATATTTATTAAATGCTTACTATGAGCCAGAATATTATGCCAATATTTTACATTTCCATGACAAGATTCTCACCTCAGCTATTATAACAAGTTGTCAGAGAAGGAATTGATCCCCACCTGGAAATCAGCACCATATGCAGGCTGCTCCTGAAGTGGGGATAGCCACACTCAAGCCTCTCTCTGTAAGTCAGCGCATTTGTGGACTGCTGGGGGAGAGAACCAGGCCACACCAGGAGGTGATCCCAGCCTGAAAACCATTATTGTTTTCTTGGGTTGGGCTTTATCTTCTTTTATTTTGTTTGATTATGTTAAATCTGATGGCATGAGCAGTTACTTAAAAGTTAGCAAGATATATTATGGTAGCCATTTTGGATTTACTCTTAGTTTATTTTGAAGTCCTTTATTTCATTCACTGTTTTGTTTTTATTGTTTCTGCTCTATTCTGTTCTGTTTGAAATTTACTATGTCTGAAGGTATCTGTAGCTATTTTGAATACAAAAGGCATTATGGTAACTTGTTGATTTTGTAAAGTTTTGAAGTCCTGTATCACTTATACTAGTTTATTTTGATTGGTTTTATTGTTTTATTTTCCTTGGTTTTATCCTCTTTAAAAAAAAAATCAGAGACATTTAACATCTATATAAAGATGCAAACATTAAGACTTTTCAGATAGCACAAGATACTGTAGTAAAGTGCATAAATTCTCAAATTTCATTGGATTTAAATATCATCAGAAGATTAACTTTCATACAATTAAAGAACATTACTATTGTACATACCTTTCACTATATTTTCTAGTAAAATTATCTTCTTTCAGCAAATAAACACATAGAATGGTGGAACTTATGAGTGTATGCAGGAATATGGGTGAATCAGAATCAGGCAGATTTCTGGCTTTCATGTGAAACCATCCTTTAATGAACTATCTCTTGAGTTTAATGGTAGCCATTAAACTAGAAAAGTACAGTAAAGTTAAAAGGTATAAAGATAGTTTACTTTTTGTTCTACTGACAATCACTTGTCAGTAGAGAAATAGTACAAATCTATTTCTGGACAGTAGGAGAAACATTGTAACTCACATGACTATTAGCTTGGGGCTGATTCCTGTAACTTTTCATTATTTCTTGAAAAGTTCTTTCTTCTTTTGTTACCTAAGGAAAATAAAAACTACATTTATCAAATGTAGTTTGAAAGAAAAATGGCTCTGAACAAAAACTTCAATTATAGAATGGCACTGAGAGTAGCCTTGCAGAAAGCCATTTAACCCAGGCCAGCCCATAACTAAAAACCACTAACATTTATGATTTTTACTACTTTTAAAATTAAAGCTTTGTAGCCTGTAGAGCCTCAGTTTCATTAATCAAAAAGGAATGAAATTGCTATGGTAAATTCTACTGAAAATGTATTTCTGTTTAAAAAGAATGATAAAAAAAGGAATGCTAGAAGAAAACTCAGACCTGCTGAATCTCCTGCAGTCTCCAGTTTTGTTAGTTTTAAGTACTTATTTAAAATAAAATTAACCACGTACTGAAGGACAATATCTTGCAGTGATTCACAGTACAAGTAAGAGATTTTTATAGGAATAGGTTTTTAACATTTCAGGAGAAGCTATAGGATTTCTACTATTAGACAAAAGTCATAACTGTAGTCCAAAGAAAGTAAATGGATTACTGATCCAAAAGGAATTTTTTGTTTTGTCTGTTACAAAGTTCAGTTAAATTACTCCTGTTTCTGCTTCTCCGTCCATTAGCACTAAACCCATTCTCAAAAAGATGAGCTGGAAATGCGAAAAACCTCAACTCTGACAATTTTCTGGAACACAAATGATTAATTAATAACATGTATTAAGACCTAGTTTGTACAGAGATTATTTTTTTATTGTATTTTTTTGTCTTTTTGAGACAGGGTCTCACTATGTAGTTCAGGCTGACCTTGGGTTCACTGTGTAGCCCAGGATGGTCTCGAACTTGCAACAATCCTTGTGCCTCAGCCTCCCAAGTGCTGGGATTACAGGAGTGTGCCACCACGCCAGGTAGATGTTTTTATTTTTTAAAATTAATTTTATTGGTATACTTCCAATAAACATAATGATCACATTCACTGTAGGAAATCTGTACCTGTACATATTTAGATTCTTCTTTTGTTCCCCATTCCGCTTCACTCTCTTCAACCTTTTTTCTCTTCCTTATTCACAAAACCTTTGTTTCCATTTTTAACTTTTATGCATAGAAATTTTTAAAGAGGCATCACAGAAGAGGGGTTATAAGGAATCTGAAAACATGTACTTTGCCTCAAAAAGTTAAAATCAGGTTTAGAACTGTATGGTTTGGGAGTGGTGGTGCATGTCTATAATCCTAGCATGCTAGAGACAGAGGTAGGAAGATCACTGCAATTCTGAAGCCAGCCTTGACTACATAATGAGACCCTGTATTGAAAAGAAAAACAAAAAAGCAAACAAAAACTGTATGGACAGGGGGCTGGGGATTTAGCTCAGCGGCATAAGCACCTGCCTTGCAAGCAGGCAGTCGTGAGTTCGATCCCTGGTACAGATAAAAAGGAAAAAGACAAAAACAACAACAACAACAACAAAAAACTGTATGGATCTATTAGGACTGCCAATTAGGCTAATAACAGTAAGGCAAAAATTGCAAATGGCTGGGTGTCGTGGCACATGTCTGTTGTAATCCCTGCACTTGGGAGAATGAGGCAGGCAGATTACTGCAAAACTGAGGCCAGCCTGGGCTACAAAATGAGTTCAAGACCAGCCTGAACTGCATAGTCAATTCTGTCTTGAAAAGACAACAAAGAAAATCAAAAACAAAAGTTGCAAATGATTTCTTCAGGTGTATCAGAGTTTTTTAAATAGGCAAAATATGCTACCTTATCACTTACAACATGGTATAGCAACTGAAAATAAGATTTTTGAGGCAGCACAATAAATCATTGGAAGGCAATACAGGACAGAAGTTCTTATACCACAGGCCTGGGGATTTAGTTCAGCGGCATAAGCACCTGCCTTGCAAGCAGGCGGTCGTGAGTTTGATCCCCGGTACCAATAAAAAAAAAAAGAAGAAAAAGTTCTTATACCAGATGAGTGAGGAGATCTTAAGTTATCGTTTATTATTATTATTTTTTGGTCATTTGTTATTTTAACTTTGGTCAAATTACTTTCCATTCTGGGGTTCAGTTATTTACCTAACTGTCGATGTCCGCTCCCGGCCGGCAGGAAGGACACACGACAAAGTCTGGTAGTGGACAACCTTTTCTTTTTATTTTCCTTCTCCGTACAGCCTGCCCTGGGTTCTCCCAGCTGAAGCCTCCTTTGGTCCGCTCCCCGCGGCTCCTTTTGTGCTTCAGCCTGCCCCAAAGCCTCTACCGGTCCGCTCTCCGCGGCTCCTTTTGGGCTTCTACTTCCGGGCTTCTACCTGGCTTCTACTTCCGCCCAGGGGTGGCACCGGTATATATACGGGTACAGTGTCCAATCATGTTAAAGTAAGCAAGGCAAGCTGATTGGCTAACATCATCAGTTGCCAGGCAGACTATATTGTTGAGCGGGTTGTTTACGCGGTAAGCAGGAAACTAACATATTCGATGGGAGGGGTAATCTACCTCAGGCCTCACTCTTTACTACAGGCCTCACGTCCGCCAAGTGAGGCGACCGGGCTCGGGGCTGCGGCTCCCAACACCTAACATGTAAAGATCATTCTACTTTAAGTTATTGTTATGGTTTATGTTTAGATGTCCCCTTAAAGCCTCATGAGGCTAAAGGGCTTTTTTCAGAGGTAGCGGAGTGTGTGATGCTGGGATTAAAGGCATCTGATTAGTAAATCAGTCCACTGACTGGCTTGGTACAGTTTTGGCTAGGATAAGCGTGTGAGTGCTATATCTGCCCTATGATGGGTAGCCTACATACAATATAAGGGACAGAAAGGCTTGTCTTCCTTTCCTGTTTCTTTGGCTCCGTTCCACTACACCATTAATGGTTGCCCCGCTGCTAAGCCACTCTGTCTTGGAGCCAGTGTATTATGGATTAAAACTTTTACAAATTGGGGGTGGGGATTTAGCTCAGCGGGATAAGCACCTGCCTTGCAAGCAGGCGGTCATGAGTTCAATCCCCGGTACTGACCAAAAAAAAAACTTTTACAAATTGTGAGCTAAACAAACCTTTGCTCTTTAACTTTGGGTGCCAGGTACTTATTTTGTCTCAGTAATGAGAAAAGTAAGACGATTACCATATCAGATGTCATGGAGTAGGGGTAGAAATGTTATTATTCACATTTATCAACTCATTTATGACCAATGCATTTTCTTTTTTTTTTTTTGAAACAGGGTTTCCCTATGCAGTTTAGGCTAGACTTAAACTCACTTTTGTCCCAGGCTAGCATCAAACTTGTGGCACTCTCCCTACCTCAGCTTCCTGAGTTGCAGGGATTATAGGAAGGCACCACCATGTCCAGCAACCAACATATTCTTATTTTTATTTATTTTTTGTCTTTTTCACTTTTATTGGTACCGGGTATCGAACTCACGACCGCCTGCTCACAAGGCAGGTGCTTATGCCGCTGAGCTAAATCCCCAGCCTTAACCAACTTATTCTTAAGAAATGGGAAAACTTAGGCTGGGGATTAGCTCAGTGGTATAAGCACCTGCCTGCCAAGCACAAGGTCATGAATTCGATCTCGAGTACCAATAAGAAAAAAAAAATTCTTAATTAAGAAATGGAAAAGCTGATTATGAAGCTAATGGAAAAGTACAGGGAACACCGAAGTTTGAAATTATTACTTAATGATGGTAGACACTATTGACTTGCTACACTAAAGGAAAACTAAGGATCAAGTTCAATAGATTTTGATTTGCTGCTTCAAATAAGGTAACTAAAGCAAAGACTTCTCCCATTACATTACCTTTGCCATAATGTAAAAGGCACAAAGGAGGAGCTGATCCAAATGTCTGTTTTTCATTAAATCAGGGCAGTGAACTAAAGTGAATTCAAAACATGTCCATATCTTCCTTCGTAAATCATTTGAAACATCCAGTTTTAAACATAAATCACGTAAGCGTACACTTGCCAAATGATAGACCTGAGGTATAAAACAACATGTTGATATGAAAACATAAAGTAAATAATCTCTCAAATTTATGTCTTATCATGAACATGGAGTTTCTGATCTGGATTAAAAATTACTTAGGTTGTCGATATATTAAATTACTTAAAATTTCTGTTTTATAGCACTAGTTTACTGCTATAGCAAAAGAATATAAACCAAACAAAATGCTCACCAGAAAACTAATTTAAGCTAGAGATTTAGCTCAGTGGCTTAAGTGTCTACCTGGCAAGTGTGAGGTCGTGAATCTGATCCCTGGTACCAAAAAAAAAAAAAAAAAAAAAGAAAAAAGAAAAAGAAAACCAATTTAAGGGCTTGTACTCAGCAATACAAGCGTCTTCTTGGCAAGTGCAAGGTCCTCAATTAGATCCCCAGGACCAAAAAAGCAATTTAAGGGCTGAGAATACAACTCAGCAGCACAGGGCCTGTCTGGCAAGGGTGAGGTCCTGAGTTCCATTTCTGGTACCAAAGGAAAAAAAGAAAAGAAAAGAAAAGAAAGAAAATCAATTTAAAAGCATTTTAAGTGAGGTGCAGTTTTATTCATTCATTCATTTATTTATTTTATTACTTTCCCTTGTTGTTGGTTCTTTTTTTTTAAATCGGTACTGGGGACCGAATTTTTTAAGGAAAATATATTTATTTTATTTTATTTTACTTTTGTCTTTTTTGAGATAGGGTCTCTATGCAGTTCTGGCTGGCCTTGATCTCACTTTGTAGCCTATGCTGGTCTCAAACTTGCAGTGATCCTCCTGCTTCAGCTGTCTGATCGCTGGGATTACAGGAATGAGCCACCACGCCTGGCTCCCTTGTTGTTGTTTAAGAACATTAGAGTAAATTCAGTTCAATGTCCTGAGACTATATATACAGTCTTTATATGAGTTGAAACTAATGCATATTTAAAATAGATCAATAGACACAGAATGCAGAAGGAGTTAATAGAAAGAGGGAATGAGGAAAAACTTCTGTATTAGGGGTTTTTTACTTTGTTTTTTGGTATTAAGAATCAAACTCAGAATCTTATACTTGCTAGGCAGGCACTTATGCTGCTGAGCTATATCCCTGTCCCTTTTTAATGTTTTTGATTTTTTTTTTTTTTGTACCAAACTAATGACCCACACTTGCCAGGCAGGCACTGTGCCACTGAGCTATATCCCTAGCACTAATTTTTAAAACGGTTTTTTAACAGTTTAACTTTATCCATGAAAAACAGGACATACTTGTCCCACACTGAACTCCATTCTAATCAACATATTATAATGGATTTCCAGTAAATTCTAGGACATTCTTAACTACTTAATTGCATCTTGGCAGGAAATATAAATTAGATCTAAAAATGGAATCTTATGACATGAGCTCAGGTTCAAAAGTAACTCACCAAGATCAGAATGTTCTCTTTTTTTTTTGGTATCAGGGATAAAACTTACAACCTCATGCTTGCTGGGGCTGTGCTTATGCAGCTGAGCTAAACCCCCAGCCTGATCATAATGTTCTATGTAGAGGTCATATACATTCATTAAAAGGCTATAAGTGCATTATCTGATACTAGAGCCAGATAAAGAAAAACAATTATACACTATTAACTCTTATGACATGGGTACAGAAATCCTCAAATACTAGCAAATCAAATTCAAGAATATGGTAAGAGGATTATACATGACCAAACAGGATTTATTCCTGGAAGACTGGAATAACTTGACTTAAGAAAAATCAATCTGTATAACACTCATTAAAAGAATAAAAGGAAAAAAAAAATCTATTTATCTATCTATCTATTTCAAGGGAAATAGAAGAAAGATTTCACAAAATTAAAATAATCTTTTTAATGGCTAAAAACACTCAATATGTTTTTTAAAGAAGGAAACTACAGGGGCTGGGGATTTAGCTCAGTGGCATAAGTGCCTGCCTTGCAAGCAGACAGTCTTGAGTTTGATTCCTAGTACCGATAAAAACGAAAAAAACAAAAAAACAAAAAACAAAAAAAAGAAGGAAACTACCTTAACATAATAAAAGGGTATACAGGAAAAATCCACAGCTAACATTATATTCAAAATGAAAGGACGGGTGTGGTGGCATATACCTGTAACCCAAGCACTTGGGTGGGGGTAAGGGGTTGAGACAGGAAGATCACTGAAATTCAAGACCAGCCTGGGCTATAAAGTGAGCTCAGGCCAGCCTAAACTGCATAATGAGACTCTGTCTCAAAAAAAGGCAAACAAGGGGCTGGGGGTTTAGCTCAGCAGCATAAGCGCCTGCCTTGCAAGCAGGCAGTCGTGAGTTCGATCCCTGGTACTGATTAAAAAAAAAAAAAAAATTACATAAAAAAAAGGCAAACAAACAAGATAGATTGAAAGCCCTTCTATTAAGATAAGGAGTAATATAAGTAGTATAAGTAATACATTTAACATAGTATTGGAAGTCCTAGCCTGAGCAATTAAGCAAGAAAAAGAAATAAAAGACATCCAAATTGGGGGGGGGGAGTAAAAATCTCTGTTTCCAGATGACAAGATTTTCTGTGTAGAAAATTAAAAAAAACCAAAATTCTGGAATATATAAAACTTGCAGAGCTAAAATTCAGTAAAGCTGCAGAATAGAAAATCAATACTTAGTGCCAAAAATATAGGTCAACAGCACAGCACCAGCCTGGCAAGAATAGTCTTGAATTCAATTTCTGGCACAAAAATAAATAAATAAATAAATTTTAAAAAAAGAAAAGATCAATAGTCAAAATACTTATGTTGGGCATAGTAGTAGATAATCAGGAGTGAATAATCCTCACTACTCAGGAGGCTGAGACAGAAAACTGAAAGTTTGATGCCAGGATGGGCAATTTAGCAGGATACTGTTTCAAAAAGAGAAAGGGTTGGGGTTGGTGATCTAACTCAGTGGTACAGCACTTGCCTAGCATGCAGGAGATACTGGGCACAAGCCTAACAACTCTCTTATCCCAGACAAATTAACTTTGTTAAAATTCAAAACTTTTACATGTCAAAAGCCATCGTGAGCAAAGTAAAAAGATAACTCACAAAATGGGAAAAAAACCTGAAAATCTTGTATCTGGTGAGAGATTAATTTGTAGAATAAAGAACTCCTACAACTCTACAAAAACCCAATTTAAAAATGGGCAAAATACTTCAATAGACATTTTTTGCAAAGATATACAGATAACCAACAGGTCATGAAAAGATGCTTACCATCAGTGATCATCAGGGAAATGAAAATCTAAACCTGAGGTAAAAGAATTGAAAACGGGAACTTGTACAGCATCAGTATTTACTTACACATGGTACACCTCCCCGTTTGTACTGTTGGGGTTCAAATCCAGGCTTTAAGCATGCTAGGCAAATCTCTTATACCTAGCCATATCCCCAATTCTCATATGAGAGATATAGTCCAGAAAATTCATAGAAAAAAATGGAATGGTGGTTGCCAGGGGTTGGGGAAAGGAAGAAATGGAGGATTACTATCCACTAAGTAAAAAATTTCAATGTGGGAAGACTACAAAGTTCCAGAGATGAGTGGTGGTAATAGTTGTACCAAAATGTGGATACTTTTAACTCTAAATTGTACATTTAAAAATGGTTAAAATGAGCCAGCATAGTAGTACATATCTGTAATCCCAATTACTCACAAGGTAAAGGCAGGAGGATTAAAAGTCTGAGGGTAGGGGCTGTGGGTTTAGCTTCGTGGCATAAAGGCCTGCCTGGCAAGCACAAAGTCATGAGTTTGATACCTGGTACCAAAAATAAATAAATAAATAAATAGAGTCTGAGTTTTGGCTGGACAACTTAGTGAGATCCTGTCTCAAAACTGAAAAATAAAAAAGAGATGGGGTTTAACTCAGTGGCAGAGTGTTTCCCTAATATGTTTAATCTCAAGAACTATAAGACAAACAAACAAAAATGGTTAACATGGTAAATTTTGTTATACTTTTTATGCAATACACGAACTAAACTAAAATTAAAGGAGAAAGAAAAAGGCCAAAGCAGCTCTCTGTTAATTTTTCTTGTGGCGATTAAGACTTCTTTTCAGATATTAAAGATATACATACCTTTCTGTAAAATAGTGCTAAGGACCCAGTTCTCTTTGGTTTTATTCCAGTCAGATGAATCTCTTGTGCTTTAGACAAACAGGTTTGTTTTGGAGAAGCACCAATTAATGACTGTGCAGTGAGTGATATGGGACTGTCAATTTTGGATTCCTGAGTTGTATTCATGGCAATAGGAATCAGTGTGATCTCCCCAGCATCATTCGCAACACCTAAATGTACAAGGAAGATTTCTTAGTTACAGAAAGAGTTGCATGTGTTCCAGGGAAGTTTTTAATTATATATATTTTATCAACTATATATATATATATATATCACTGTGCCTGGCATAGGCATATGTTAGGAAAGAAGAGGAAGATTACAAAATAGGAACTCTCAATTAGGGTTGAATGCTTGTTTTCTACTACTTTCCTAAAACAAGAATAGTCTTTTTTGTTTTGATAAATTTATAATTAATTTGATTTTAACAAAAAGAAAATTTTGTTCTCTATTTTGTATGAGCTTATGGTGTTTTTTGCTTTAATTTTATTTTTATTTCTTTATTTTTGAGACAGGGTTTCATTATGCAGCTGAGCTGCCTTTGAGCTCATTTTGTAGCCGAGGCTAGTTTCGAACTTGCAATGATCCTCCTGCCTCAGCCCCCGAAGTGCTGGGATTACAGGTGTGCCACCATGCCCGACTTACACTTCATTTTTAAAGAAGCATTTTGTTCTGTTTTGAGCACTTAAAGGTATTTTTAATACCTTTTAAAACACAAAATTCTTGTTTAGTTCCCTCATTTGTAAAATTCAGATAACAAAGTAAGTTCTAACAAACATTGCAGAAAGTTTACACAAAGTGAAAATTTAACAATCAGCATAAGTTACAACAAGAAATTTTAGAGGAAGTATAATTATTCAGTATAATACTGCAATGGAATATATACTTCATTAGATATTATCAAAATACATAAAATGTATGATGCTAAGAGTGAAGCTTACTGTAAACTAAGGGCTTTGGACAATGATGTGTCAATGTATTTCATCAACTGTAATGAATGTACCACTTTACTGTAGGGTGATGGTGGGGTCGGAGTAATGACAGGGAATGTATAGAAAATTTCTACTATCTTTTCGATTTTGCTATGAATCTAAAACTGCTCAAATAAATGGAAGGGGCACGGGGGATAGCTCAGCAGCACAGTGCCTGCTTGGCAAGTACAAGGTCCTAGGTTCAATTCCCAGTACCAAAACAAAAACAAGGACAAAAACAAAAACAGAAAGGGAGGTTCAGGTTAAAAAAAAAAAAAATGTAAGTTAGAAAGAACATGTGATGCATTTCAGTTAAGACAGTTTCTCGGGGCTGAGATTTAGCTCAGTGGCATAAGCGCCTGCCTTGCAAGCAGGCAGTCGTGAGTTCGATCCCTGGTACCGATAAAAATGAAAAAGACAAAAAAAAAAAAAAAAAAGACAATTCCTGAAATTTCATCTAACTCAGAAAAAATATGAATTAAGTGCTTCAAAATGTTACCATGTAATGGAATTGTAACTTGATGTCCTGCTGTCCCTGCTACTGTGGTTGTGGTCATTGTTAGAAGAGTCTGCCCAGGTGAAATTGATATATTTTCAGCAGTGATGCTTGAAGAGGGAGCAATTTTCAACTTTGTTCCTTCTGTCATATTCTTGTCCATAAGCATTTCCTTTGGTGGATCCTCTTCAAAAAGTCTTCTCTTAGCACTCCCAGCAGTAGGAGAACTGTAGCGTTCATGGATCAAAATTGGAGACAATGGTTGCATATCTAAAAAACACAAAAATTTAAAACAGTTTGAAATGTATTATAAAATAATAAATCAGATTCACTCGTTCATTTGCTAGGCACTAAAGATCTAGTAGTGAATAACATGGCCTCTGCCCTCATGGAATATCAAATCTAATGGGAGAGAGAGGTACAAAATGTGAAATAAGTCATTAAATGTGAAATAAGACAATAAAATGTGGAAATTATGATAGTTCACCTTAAAGGAACAACATATTAAGAAAAAAGTAGGTCTGGGGACTTAGCTCAGTGGCATAAGCGCCTGCCTTGCAAGCGCACAGTTGTGAGTTTGATCCCTGGTACCCATTAAAAAAAAAAAAAAAACGAGAAAGTAGAAGCTGAGTGACAGAATGAGGAAAGCACTAAATTTAAAAAGTAGTCCTGGAGCCAAAGATATAGGTCAGTGGCACAAGCTGCTGCCTCACAAGTGCAAGGTCGTGAGTTTGATTCCTGGTACAAAAAAACAAACAAAAAAATGTACTAATCTAGTTGTTTTCTGTCTCATAATCCTATCTAATACACAGCACCTGAGAAAAAGAAAAGCAAAAGCAAAAATCAGTATGTTGGGTCATAGTTTTGGCTTCTTCCACTCTCTAAGTAGTTTAAGCAGTAGCCACAGCCTTGTGATTTAGTACAATCAGAATTATGTTTAACAGGTCCATCAGAAGCTATGAGTAAAGTTGTTGTGACTCTACTGATGTCTTAATCTAAGCCTGGAATTAGTGAATCAATCAAAAAGAAAGTAAGAGTTATGTACTACACTTCTTGTTCAAGACTATCTTGCTACAGGGGATGCTCTCTATCTATACTCAGGGGGAAGAGATAAGTTCTTTTAACTGTTTCAACCATACACCTTTTCTCTTCTTTCTTCCAATTATTTCTTCAGAGGCATATACATATTTTCCTTCTGACATGCAGGAATCTCTGCATTCTTTTTTTTTTTTTTTTTTGTACTGGGGATCGCACTCATGACCTTGCACTTGCCAGGCAGGCCCGTATGCCACTTAGCTAAATCCGTAGCCCTCTGTATTCATTTTTGTATTCACTCATTAGACAATGATTAATCTATTTTCAAAACAAGTTTAAAAGATATATAATTACCTCTGGCTATGATCTGAAAGGTCTCTGCATTGTTCAGATGACTGGGGAAATAGTGATGGTTTGATAAAAGTCTTTTTATTATTCTAGTGCTATGAAAGCAGTTCTGACTTCCTCAGTGAAGAAGCAGAAATTTCTTTCTCCCCCTTTTTTTTTGTGATAGTCTTGCTATATGGTTCAGACTGATCTTGAACCCACTATGTGGTCCAAGCTGGCCTCAAACTCATGGCAATCCTCCTGCCTTGGCCTCCCCTAAATGGTGGGATTACAGGCTTATACCACCACACCCATTTGGAAATTTCTATTACAGCTCCTAAAACCCCTCTACAGTAGCCTACTTCAATGGCTCATATCAAGCCAGGCATAGTGGCACATGCTTGTAGTCAGAGCACTCAGGAGGCTGAAGCAGGAGGATCACTGTGAGTTTGAGACCAGACTGGGTTACAATGTAAGTTCAAGGCCAGCCTGAACTATACTGCATAGCAAGACCCTACCTCACTCACTCACACACACACACACACACACACACACACACACACACACACACACAAATAAAACTACTTCAATGGCTCATATCTAAGGATTCCAAGACAGCCCCTGAATCTGACTAGGAAGGCTCAAAGGTGATCAAGGGGAGATTTGAGTTACAGTCATGGAAATTATTTATAATAACCTTTTCCATGGTACAGAAAAGATGCTTAATTGCATGGTTAAACTATTCTTTTTTTTTTTTCCCGGAACTGGGAATCAAACTTCAGGACCTTGCGCTTGCCAGGCAGGCACTTATACCACTGAGCTAAATTCCTGGCCTGGTTAAACTATTGTTAGTAAAATTTTTTGAGGTGGAAGGTATTGGAGATTGAATCCAAGGGCTCCACTGAGCTATATCCCAACAAGGTCTTGCTAAGTCACTGAATTATCCCGGTTTGGCTTAAAATTCAGTTCCTCTCGTGTTAGCCTTCCAGAGTGCTAGCACTATAGGTATGCACCATCATACCTGGCTCCTAGTCCTTTCCATTATTAATGAAGTGTGACTAAAAACTACATTGTGTCAAACTAGACTCATGTCTGAAAAAAAAAAAAAAAACACCAAAAAACTACATTGTGTGCCTCAACCTGTTACAGTAAAAGATACATTGCCTTTAACTCTCCTCAAAGAACTCCCCACTGCTTCAAACATACTTATCCTACTATTCCTGCCACTTCCTGAAGTAGTTCTGTCATTTTTGTATGTGTCTTTAGTTGTGCAGTTGTGGCTGCCTTGATGTCCTAGATTGCCCTGCATAATTATTTTGACTTTGGGGACCAGGCAGAAGTCACATGGTGCCAGATCCCAATGAACAAGGTGGATGAGAACACACTGTAATGTTTTCTTGAGCCTTTTCACTGAATGACATCTACCATTAGATGGCAGAAGCACTCACTGCATTTTAAAATCATACCTTATAAAGACAAAAGCAGACTTCCAGAAGTATTTCTGAAAGTGCTAAGAACAATAGGATAAATGTGTTTAAAGCAAGAAGAAATATTATGAGGGAAGTTAATGGCGATGTGTAATACATTTAAAAAATAACATTTAAGAACATGGCGGACAGATAGCAGCAGCTACAGAGGCTCTCTGAAAGACCCAGCTTAGAATCCAGGAATGGTGCGGAGTGAGGAATCCTAAGCAAGAGAGGAGATATGCCCTGCTGACCCAAGAACTAACTGGGCTGAGAGAAACCAACTGGGAATGCAATCCTGGTGCTATAACAGGAACAGATAAAGCCTCAGCGTGGAAACTGGAGCCCGCGCCATTGGAAACCGCGATTTGGGTTTCCTGCCACCGCGGCTGCATCTGAATCAGCTCAGCAGGGAGAGAGACGCACGAAAGCGCTGAGAACAGGAATCGGTGAACAGAGTTAAGAGCTGGGTGGGCGGGGAGCTGTGCATCGATCTCTGGTAAGTGAGGGAAACTGGGACTCTCCCACGGTCTAGGAGGCGCCAACAGAGGACATTCTGGGACTTTCGGGAACAGGGCGCTGCAGTGACTTCAGTCACATATCCCCCTCTGAAGCGGGAGTGGTGAGCAGTGCCTAGCCTACGTGACACTGCTGGCTGAGACCCAGTAGGCTAGCACAGCCCAGGTCCCAGCGCCTGAAGGTGACCTGGAGGGGCGGGCCCCGCATAGGCTGCCCAGTAGGTAACTCCTTGGTGTGCTGCGGTGGGCAGGAACACCTAGCCGGAGGAATTCAATCAGACTGTGGCCAACAGGGAAGGAAGCTGGGCCTCCTAGATACGCTTGCATTTATAAGGAACAAAGAATATGGAAAGAGGGAGCAACAAGAAAGACCCCTCAGCACCCAATCCTGAGAAACAGGCAATAGCAGACACCGCACCAATAGACATAAAGCGCTATCTCCAGAGCCTCATAGACGAGTTCAGGAATGAAGTTATTAATGACCTGAAGCTAGACATAAGCAGAACAGTTAGAGAAATGCTAAGCACCACCCAAGAAAAAACAGATGGTGGAATGGAAGAAAAGAAAAAGAGAGAATTGTTTGATGGAGAAAACAGAGAAAGCATAGAATATGTGAAGCAGGTTCAAAGAGATTACCAGGAAACTAAAAACTATCGAAAACTGGCATAACAGCTTGAAAGAAACTAAGGATAGATTATCTGAACTGGAGGCCAGATTTGTAATATGGGAGCATGAAATGAAAAACTTCTTAAAAATAACAAAGAAACAAACAGCAATAATACAAAGACTAGAAGATGATAAGAGGATCTATAACTTAAGAATTAAGACCATAAAAGAAGAGGTAGGGACACAAACAAATGAACTACAAAAGCTACTCACAGAAATAATCCAGGAGAATTTTCCTAATTTAGCAAAAGGTAAAGATACTCAGATGTATAAAGCATTCAGGACCCCAGCCACCTACAACCCAAACAGAGCTACACCCAGGTATATAATAATCAAAATTCCAGAAATCCAATATAAGAACAGAATATTAAAAGCCATCAGAGACAAGAAACAGATCACTTACAAGGGAACACCTATCAGAATTACAGCAGACTTCTGGGCACAAACCATTACATCACGAAGAGCGTAAAGGAAAATAATTCAAGCTTTGAAAGATAATAACCTCCAGCCAAGATTGATATATCCTGCACAACTATCCCTGGAAATTGATGGAAAAACAAGGTGCTTCCAGGATAAAGAGGAACTAGAGGAATATGCAACCACCAATTTAACTCTACAGAGAATACTGCAGAGTATTCTAAAAAAGAAAAATACGAAGAATCCAGAAATAGTGGCAGAGAGGCCACAATGAATGGAGCAGAAAGTGAAATGAAGAAGACAAACTGACAACTAATGACAGAAGAAGAGCTCAACAGAAATGAGGCAGAGAAGATTGAATGATACGAACAGCTATTTTGGAGAAAACGACGTCATAATAGGTAGTGCTGATTTAGTTTCATCTTGTTTTGAAGTCTCATCAAGCTTTTGCTCTTCTGTCTCCATTGGTCTTAGCATGTTGTATCTTAATGGATTTTATTATATGTGATAGTATAAACAAAAGCTTTTATAGACAAGGAGATTATACAGAAACCATTGTTCATTTTCTGTTAGTTGATTCTAAATACCCTGTAATACTGTCATTCTCTTGAATGGTTTTACATTGTTTTGATATATGTGATGCTACAGTATACGAAGTTATACTCAAAGATTTCAAGGAAAGAGACAATATGGTAACTACTTTTATGTCGGGATTATCTTGTGGCAAAACATTATTTTGCTTAAATGGTTATGTTTTTTTCTGCGCTGTTTTGTTGTTATGCCCTCTTTGATCTCAATCTCCATTTTATTATTTACTTTTTTATTTTTATCCTTTTAATTAAGGGAAAAGTAAATTAAAAAATAGTGGGATATATTATAGTAACCCACTTTGATTTACTATTAACTTGATTTGAAGCCCTGTATTGCTCTCACCATCTTGTTTTGACTGATGTTCCTCTATTCTGTTTTGCTTGATAGTACCAGGTTCGAAAGTATAGGCAACAGCTGTGAAGATAGTGGGATTCATTATGATGCCCATTCTGGTTGACTATTATCTACTTTTGAAGACCTGTAATGTCTCCAATGTTTTGGTTTTGTTGGTTTCGTTCTTTACTGTTTTGTTCAATTTTATTATAACTGATGATATAGACAATTCTATTAGAGATAGCAGGAGGCATTATGGTAACCATTGTTGATCACCTTATATTATGTTTTTACATTATCTGTTATGTCCACCCTTTTGATTTGACCGACTCTGTTCTGTTATGTCACATTTGGTTTTACTCTCTTCCAAAAAAAGTAATAAGAACTGTGGGAAAAATAAAACCCAAAATGTGTAATAGTCATTGTACAAAAGAGAAGAAAAGAAAGTGCTCTAAACGATATAACTGCATGTATATTTAAGTGTATAAGATAGACAATGATATTACTGAGTTTTGTTGGATCACTGAACAGAACTGTTTGGTCTCACTGTTTGAATGTCCACTATATAAGTTTTAATTTTGTAACTTGAACAAATATTTCTAAGATGACAATATGTAATCCATTAATTAGTGATTTCCTGTTTTTTTCTGAAATTCTGTATAACTTGTTCCTTTTTCTGCTTTTTTTTCTTTTTCTCCTTAAATAAAATTTAAAAAAATAACATTTAAACATTCACTGATTATTTTATCACCCATTGTAATACTGAAACAAGATATTTGATACATTTTCCAGGCTGACTGGAATGGAACCTGAAATTCTCCTGGCTCAGCCAAGTGTTTTGTGGTTTGCCGTACTAGAGATCAAACCCAGGAAATCATGCACATTACAGAAGTACTCTACCACTGAGCTACACTACACTCCCAGCCCAGTCAAGTAAGTTTGTTTTGTTTTTAATTTTTTTTTTTTTTGTCTTTTTCGTTTTTATCGGTACCAGGGATTGAACTCACGACTGCTTGCTTGCAAGGCAGACGCTTATGCCGCTGAGCTAAATACCTAGCCCCTTTGTTTTTAATTTTTTAAAACAGCGTCACCAGGTGGGGGATATAGTTCAACAGCACAAGTGTTTGCCTGGCAAGTGTGAGGTTCTGAGTTTGATCTTCGTTACCAAAACAAAACAGGGTCATCTTCTGCTGTCCAAGTTAGCCTTGAATTTAAGATTCTTCTGCCTTAGCCTTCTAAGTGTTTGGGTTGTAGCTATACACCACGTTTGGACAGACTTTAAGTTTTTCTTTTTTTTTTTTGGTCTTTTCCGATTTTATTGGTACAAGGGATCAAACTCAGGACCACACACTTGCAAGGTAGGCGCTTATGCCGCTGAGCCCCCTAGCCTTTAAGTTTTTAAAAAAGAAAATAATATTGTTTCTAATGTTTTGAATGATAGTATACTAAAGTAGTTTTACTTCTTTTTAACATTTTGCTAAAATTTACAAAAGTCACAAAACAGGGGCAGTTATTTCCATTGTTTAGTATCATTTTGCATTCATGGCCCACAAGTTATTTCTTTCTTTCTTGTTTTTTTTTTTTCCGTACTAGGAATTGAACTCATAACCTCATGTTTACCAGGCAGACGCTGTGCCACTGAGCTATCCCTGACCCTTCCACAAGTCATTCTTGTGATCTCTCACTGCCTATAAAACTCAGATTGCAGACACAAACACAAGGACATATATACAACCACACAGAGTTCAAAAATGGATGTAGAGGTGCCTTGCTATACAACCTGATTGCTTTCTTATCTTTTTTAGAGATATTACATAGTCAGATTTTCTTATATCATTAAAAAAAAATCCAACAATTATGTAATCCAAAAGATGTATACATCAGTTTGTGGAGCCACAACAGAAAATAAGGAAGAATGCATTAAAATCTTGGTAAGGATCAAAATGTGTAATTTTAAGAGATATAGAAAAGTCATTTATTAGATGAACTTTTTGCGGTAGGGAGGCAGTTTGAGACATAGTACTTTGTTCAGGCTAGCTTTGAATTCAATACATATCCCAGTCTGGCCTTGAATTTCCAGCAATCTTCTTGCTTCAGCCTCCCAAGTGCTAGCGTGTAAATAAGGTACAGGAGTCAGGTGTGGTAGTGCACAAGTGTAATCTCAGCACTCAGGAGGCTGAGGCAGGAGGATGCTGCCAGTTTGAGGCCAGCCTGGGTTACAGAGTTAGTTCAAGGCTGACCTGAACTACATAGCAAGACCTTGTCTCAAAAAGAGAAAAACAAAAGACAATACAAATTCTTTATTTGGAGTTTTGTTGTTTTTTGAGAGGGCCTTGCTACATAGTTCAGGCTTGCCTTCAATTCACTATTTAGTCCAGGCTGGCCTGACACTCATGGTGGTCCTCTTACCTTAGCCTCGAAAGTGCTGGGATTACAGGTGTATGTATACCACCATGCCCAGCAATGAGTTTTTCATTTTGCTTTCAATTTTTATCTTTCTATAGAGATATATACAAATAAAAGAAGAATAAAACTTTTATTAAAATTGGAAAAGTAGGGGCTGGGGATTTAGCTCAGTGGCATAAGCGCCTGCCGTGAGGCGGTATCCCCGATACCGACTAAAAAAATAAAATAAAATTGGAAAAGTAGGTATTAACTTAAATAATTTCCTGTTGAAGACCACAAATTATAAACTGACATAGTAGGTCCTAGGCTTTCCTTGCCCTGCCTGCCTTGAGGACCAGTTTTGAATGCAGAAATCACCTTGCTCTTGGCCAAAAAGATTAGCACCCAGGCATGGGGATGGATCTTAACCTTTCCCATTATGATGTGAAACTTGTCCATTCTATCTCTTCCTCTATGCAGTTCCAGAAGAAGCATCCTAACCCCTTCCCTACATTCGCTAATGAAATGCTAACTAGCTGAAGACAGTGGTCTTTTTGCTCATAGAAAGCAACTGGTGATATCAGACCCTGATATGCACCCCTCTACTTAAATTTTTCTTTTTTTCATACCAGGAATCGAACTCATGATTTCGCACTTGCCAGGCAGGTGCTGTACTGCTGAGTTATATTCCCTGGTCCTACCCCTCTACTTTGTCCCTTGCTCTTTCTTTCCTTTCCTGCTGTGCACCATAACTCAGGCCGGAAACTGGAATCCAATTAAGAAAAGGTTGTATGTGATTATTAAAAGTCCAAAGTACGATATCCACAATAATTGTTATTATGAATTTTAAAAATAGAATACTGAAAACTGCACTGAAAATCTTTTAATATAAAAAGTATATGATATACTACAAAAAAGTACTGGCATAAACATTAAGTCCTTTCTCATCTCCTGTTGAAGAAACTGTCTCAATTAGTAATATACTTTTTTTTTTTTTGGTACCAGGGATTGAACTCACAACCTCGCACTTGCCAGGCAGGCGCTTATGCCGCTGAGCTAAATCCCCAGCCCCGTAATATACTACTGAGACTTGAAATTTTCCCTGGAAAAACAGTTTTTGTTATTTTCATTATTTTACCAATGTTGAACCTACCCCTTCGAAGACCCCCACTGTCAGTCCGAACTTCCTTGACTCTTGGATGGATTATAGGAGATATTGGCATCATGGGAAGATGCCCCTGCACATTTCCTCCATTTCCTGTTTCAAAGTTATTTGGAAATATAACCTGCAGAACACAAAAGCCATTTGATTTCATACAGATGAATCCATTCATTAAAACAGAAAAAAAAAAGTTTTCGTAACTGCTTTCATGGTTTTATTTCCATTCACAAAATAATTTTGCACAAAGGTGCTCTACCATTATTATTTTCAGGGGAGTATCGGGAATTGAACTCAGGACCTCATGCTTGCCAGGTACCTAAATCCTTGGCCCCTCAATCACTATATTTTAAAATGCTCAATTATTAACACTCAAATATATAACAAGACTTCATTTCACCTAATCTTTTTTTTTTTTTTTTTTTGGTCTTTTTCGTTTTTATCGGTACCAGGGATTGAACTCACAACGACACACTTGCAAGGCAGGTGTTTATGCCGCTGAGCTGAATCCCCAGCCGCATTTTACTTAATCTTTTATCTATGCAAGCTACTAACCATGAGAAGTAAACCTGTGAAACGGACACTCTCATTTACCAGTTAGGGGTGAGAAAATTGAGGATCAAAATGTGAAAGCTGCTCATCATTACAGTATGATTATGTAAGAACCTCTAATCTTTTGCCTTCAAGTTCATAAATTTTTTCTCTTTCTGAATGGACTTTACAATGGCTATATACTGTGAATACAAAAGATTGACCAGTTAATCACAGTCTACTGCAGAAGACCAGGCATGGAAGATAAATTTTAAGAAACTTTTTTGTTTTTTATTCTTCCTGGTCTTGAACAGTTCTTCCATTAGTTTAGGACTAGGGAAAAATTCAAGGTTAGTTAAGTATAACGAGACACAGAAAAGCAATGAAAGATCAAACATACAAACAATAGGAGTTACAAAAAGAATAACACATATGTAGAGGGAAAAACCCTTCAAATTCTTCCATGAAACTGAGCTGCTAAATGTGTGATGTATGTAAAACTTTCGGCACAAACTTGTGATTTTTAAATTCTAAATGCCACTACTGAAGTATTCAATTTTTATATAGACATTTGGAAATTTAAAATTTAGAGATTAATGGTTTCTTAGTTATGATACCAAAAGCACAAGCAATATTCTGGTTTCTCTTCCAATTGCATAAATCTTTTGCCTTAAATTTAAAAGCACAAGAAGGGCCAGGGATTTAGCTCAGTGGCATTAAGTGCCTACCTGGCAAGTCATGAGTTCTATCCCAGGTACCAAAAAAATCCAAAAAAACCCTCACACATAAAAACACAAGAAACAATAAGGAAAAAAAACCTAGAAAAATAAAGACTTCATTCAAATTAGCAATTTTTACGTTCCAAAAGACACCATCAAGAAAATTGAAAAATCAATCTCGAAAATGGGAAAGAAATTTTATAAACCATGTATCTGATAACAAAGTTGTATGTAGAATATACCAGAGAACTTCTATAAGGCAATAATAAAAACAACCCAATCAAAAAATGGGCAATAAATCTGAATAGGTATTTTACTATAAAAAAATACACACATGAAAAGATGTTGAATATCATTAACTGTCAGGGAAATATAAAATCAAGATCATGATGAAAATATGACTACATCTACTAGGCAGGCTAGAAAGACATAATAACAAGCAACTTGATTCTTCACAGACTGGTAGTAGGAAAAATAATAGTAATGCTGGGGATTGAACCCAGGGCTTTGGACCTGAGCTGTATCCTTAGCACCTACCGTATCCCCTCCCCTGCAATTTTCTCTGTTTGTTTTTTTGTTTTGTTTTGTTTTGTTTTTGGTGGTACCTGAGGTTGAACCTGGGGCCTTTGTATTGAGCTGCATCCTCAGTTCTTTATACATTTTTTTTCTTTCTTTCTTTCTTTTCTTTTTTTTTTTTTTTTTCCAATTTTGAGACACTTCTAAGTTGACCAGGCTGGACTCAAACTCACAATCCTCTTGCCTGAGCTGCCCAGAACGCTGGGAGCTAACAGGCCCAGCTCTACTTTTTTTTTTTTTTTTTTTGGTCTTTTCCGTTTTTTATTGGTACCAGGGATCGAACTCACGACTGCCTGCTTGCAGGGCAGGCGCTTATGCCGCTGAGCTAAATCCCCAGCTCCCAGTTCCACTTTTGAAAACAAAGTTACCATATGACTCAACAATAATATTTGTACAGTTATGTACTTACTGTGTATTGCAAACATGTACTAATAAAAATTAATACATTAATATACTTAAAAATAAAAAAGAAAATATATTTACAAAAAAAACCTCACCCTTGTATATTTATAATAGTATCATTCATAGCAGCCAAAAGGTAGACACAGCCCAATACCTACTGATAAATTAAAGAAATGTAGCATAGCTACACAGTGAAACATTGTTTTGCAACAAAGGGAAACAAAATGCTAATGATATATGCTGCAAAAGGGATGAAGCTTACAAATATTATGCTACATGTGACCATGGACTACATATCATATGATTCTATTTATATGACATGTTCATAAAAGGTAAATTTATAGTCAGAAAGTAGATAAGCAGTTGCTTAGGGTTAGAGCGGTAGGGAAGTGATAGCTAAAGCATGTTGGTTTCTCACAGAGGTAATGAATTTATGCTAAAATTGACTGGGTTGATAGTTGTACTTATCTATACACTAGAAACCACTGAACAGTACACTTTTTTTTTTTTTTTGTCTTTTTGAGACAGGGTCTCGCTGTGCATTTCAGGCTGGTCTTGGGCTCACTTTGTAGCCTAGGCTGGTCTCAAACTTGCAATGATCCTTCTGCCTCAGCCTCCCAAGTGCTGGGATTACAGGTGTGAGCCACCATGCCGGCTATGGACAGTATACTTTAAATTGGTGAATTTTATAGTACATGTATAGTATATAGTATACATGTATAAAGTGGGTTTTTTTGGTACTGGAGTTTGAACCCATGACCTCGCATTTGCCGGGCAGGTGCTATGCCACTGAGCTATGTCTCCAGCCAAAGTTGTTATTTTTTAATGATTGCATTATTAGCCTGGTGCTTACTCACTTCTTCACAAGTAGGGACTTTGTTTGCAGAAGCTGAGAGAGCTTCCCACAGAGCAGAATTGTGACTCCATGCTAAACTCTCTAAAATTTGTTCTTCAATGCTGTTCAGATGTTTCACCATGTCCCTGGAGAGTCCCTCCTCTGAGCGAATTACCACCTCAATTACCTGGAGAGGATAAAGTTGAAAAGATAAAAATAGTCTCAATGTTTAGTCTGAATCTTCAGCATAGCTTGCTTCAGTCTCACTGTGTCACAGAACCAAAGCTATCTCTGAGTCATAATTTTGTGGTTTGCTAGTATCTTTTAATTTATAAAACAACTTTTAAAGTCTTTAAAACATATTAACATACATTTGCTTTGTCTGTCTTATTTTATTCATAAAAAACTGAGGCAAGGGTAAGTAGAAAACAGTTAACACCAAGAATCAGGTTTTGTTTCTAGTCCAGTTTTTACCACCTTATCCCGAATTATTGTTTCTAATTTCTCTAAAGGACATAATGAATAAACTACTTAAAATTAACTATGTGCTCTTTCTCAATGTAAACAACAAATGGTGAATGACTAGTGCAGGAGAGAGCCCGGAGGCCTAGGAATAGAAAGATGTGGCAGCTTCTGAGGTGGCTTCCAGAGTGACAGCTGGGGTTTGAGTCAGGGAGCTTGTATAGGCAAGGTTGTGGACATAGTGGAACCCCAATCATCAAATTGGGTCCCTCTGGTCAAGGAAACAAAGCTCAAGAATCTAGAGGAGATCTATTTTTTTCCCTACCGATTAAGGAATCTGGTATTAGTGACTTTTTCTGATGGTATCTGTCAAGGATGAAATTTTAAAGATTATGTTTGTGCAAAAGCAGGCTGACTAGGTTCAATGCATTTGTATCTGTGGGGACTACAATGTCTATCAGTCTGGGTATTAAGTGCTCCAAAGAGGTAGGCAGCCACAACCATTCAAGGGGCATGCTGGAGGAACTAAATTCTATACTGTTCTTTTCAAGGTGACAGGCCATTATGATTTGTGCTGGTGTGCCTCATCCTTGTCCCCAGAGGCACTGGCACTGCATAAGCCACTGTGAGCAAGAAGCTACTACAGGGCTAGTACTGCTGCCTGCTATACTCAGACAGGGGCTACATTGCCACTCTGGGCAAAATCATTGAGAATGAAGTAAGAATGCTACAAATAAAAGCAAGATGTTAAAACTGAGAGTTCATGTCAGAGATAGAGGGCCCAAGGCCCTGAGGTCTAATCCTCAGCAATACAAAAATGAAATAAAACCAAAGCCAAATTGCTAAATTTGGCCAAAAACTAAACTTTTTCCTAATTGGAAAATGTGAATACACATATCAACATTATAGTAAATATACTATATAAAATCAATTTCTCCTAAGAAATCTAAAAATATTTTCTTTACAGTCAACGATTCAAATATATAACTTCTCAATGATACATATTTTCCACAACTTTAATTCAGTTTAGTGTAAACATCTAATTCTTTAAACTAATTTTCCTATCATTGATAGTATAAAACTAGCATGCCTAAATATGAACTAAATCATGTCAATAAATGTAGCAAAAGCATTAGTCTACATTTGGCCATCAAATGTCATTAACTATTATTGACTGTAATAATGTAGTTCAGCAGTTATGGCCTGTTTTATAAAAGAAAGGTTAATAAAAATAGATCTAGAAGAAAAAAAGATAAAGCAAGTAAGGTCACTCAGACTGAATTATCCCAAGTTGGGGAAATGCAGAGTCACAAGTGGCCAGTTGGGTCCTTAGAGGGGTGATGGGAGATTAACAAAAGACAAGACACAAAAGGTAAGAAAGACCCATCCCTCTGATGGAGAGGCAGCGACAACCCAGCATGGTCTGTGTCTTCATTTATACACAGAAAAAGGAGAAAAGTGCACAATGGGGTCGAAAGTGCAAGGTCTCAGTGTTTTGCGGAGATCATGGAAAGTGAGACATTTTCAGAGTTATCTGTGATGTAGTTAACAAGGAGGAACACCAAGGCCAGACACTTGCTGATATACAAATGAGCTAGAGGTCAACTTGTTTATACAGTCTGCTTCTGGAATTCTGTGTTTCTGGGAGTTGCTCTGCTCTAGTCCCAAGGAGTTTGTAGACCACCAACTCAGCCGCTCCCTACAGGGAAGCAGCATGATCTGTTCTTTTTTTTTTTTTTTTTTTTTTTCCTGTCTTTTTGAGACAGGGTCTCACTATGGAATTCCGGCTGGCCTTGAGCTCACTTTTGTAGCTCAGGCTGGTCTCAAACTCACAACGATCCTCCTGCCTCAGCCTCCCGAGTGCTAGGATTACAGGCATGAATCACCACACCCGGCCTATTCTTTTACCTTATTAGCTAGACCATCATCACAGTTTGTTTCACTTCCCCCCACCACACACACATTTCTTTTTTGCAGGGTTGAGGTCAAACCATGACCTCGAGAATGCTAGGTAAGTTCTCTGTCACTGAGCTATATCTCCAGGCCACCACTATCAGTTTTAGACCTTTTTCCTTGGAGAAAGTAATTTTGTTTTTTGTTTTATATCCACTTAATAGGATTATTTATAAATATATGGGAAATTTGAAGTTAAATCAGTACCAGGTCACATTTGCATGTCAATTATGGAAAACAAACTGAGATTCTGAAATTGCCTTCATTTACCAATACCCTCATTCTTTTCCTTTTGCCCTTGATTCCACCTAAAAGCAGTATATATCATCAGAACACCTCTGGAGATATTTTTCTTAGACATCATGACTGTGTTCCTTCAGCACTAAGATAAATATAATGTTTAGATGAAATACATGGTAACAGAAATTTGTTATCTCACCTTATAAAAATAAAATGGCTGCAAGTTGAGAATTTCAATAATCCAAGGAAAAGTACGTGGTGAGCTATAGGCAAAAAGCACAATTTCCAAACAACAAGCCATCAAGGAATGATGAAATATGTTTTGCTCTAAAAGAACCTTGGGGAAGAAAAAGACTAGTTTAATATTTCTCAGCAATTTTAGCCTGTCAATCTATAAATAAAACTCTAACAAGATTAAAAAAACTACTATATTATCAGAGAAAGATTATCAGAGTTCTTAGGCTGGGGGTATAGCTCAGTGATAAGTCTTTGTCTAAAATACACAAAGCTTTATTTTAATCCTCAGCACCATGTAGGGGGAAAGATCTCAAACTGGTAAGGTTTTTTCGTATCTAATTTTGTTCAGTGGTAGACTTTACACTTAAATGAAGCATATATAACAATCTATTTTGAAATCTAAACAATAAGAGAACCATTATTTCTATGAAGAGAAAAGTATAGGATTGGTTCTTTTTCTTCTGAGTAACAGTTAACTGTTTTTTAGCATGTAGTCAAAATGCTGGGCTGGGATGTAGCTTAGTGGCACAGCATCTGCCTGGCAAGTACGAGGCCCTGGGTTCAATACCCAGTACCAAAAAAGAAAATAGTAAATAAATTAAAAAAAAAAAACACCAAAATGCTGAAATGGAAGATAATGTAACAGTTAAGACAAAAAAAATTGAAAGATGTATTTTACGAAGATAAAGCACTGCTTTATCATCAAATTTAACATCTGATATGTTTTTCAGTTTTTTCAGGTGGTGTTTGTCATCTATCACCCCAAATCAATAAAGAGAATAAGGAAGAGAAACTCAGGTTGGTGTGGTGGCTCATGCATATAATACTAGCACTCGGGAGGCTGAGGCAAGAAGATTGTAAGTTGTGGGCCCAATATGGGCTACATAGGGAGTTCAAGATCATCTTGGATAAAAATAGCAGCATTTGTAAATACAAACCACTGAAAGCAGATGGAAAGATGGTAAATTACTCAGCAAACAGTATGATAATTAAATATAGGGGCCTGTAGAGAAAAACTTAAATCTGTTCCATGAACCCTGGAGAAGACATAGCAACTGGGAGCACAGAGAGAATGGAAATTAGGGATAAGGCAGGGGCTAAGAGACCCACGATATGTAAGTCTATCCACCAGGTAGACCCCTTAGGTCCCACCCAAACCCTTAAAAGGGTCAAATAATAGACCTACAGTCCATCACCACTGGAGTCTGAACTATTCTCTAGAGAAACTGTACCAGGGGGTTGGGGATTTAGCTCAGGGGCATAAGTACCTGCCTTGCAAGCAGGCGGTCGTGAGTTTGATCCCGGTACCGATAAAAATGAAAATGAAAAAGAGAAACTGTACCAGAGACATAGCTAAAGATTATCATGCACACACACACAAAAAGGGTTTTGGTGAAAAGCTGCAGACTGACCTATGAGATCAAGTTTTCCTTTCTTGTTTTATACTATACATCAAGAGCCACGGGCAAGAGATTAGAAGATTTGTCTTGGAAAGACCAAAATATTCTAGAAAAGACTGTAAGACACCTATATGTAAGAGTCTTTAATTCTACCTCATTATCTGAAGCCACTGCACTTTCATTCTACTCTTGGATACTGAATCAACATTTTAGTGCCTTACTTGAACATAAGTGGGCAGCCAAGAATAATACGAAATTTGAGGAAAACTTGTAACTAAAACACACAGGTCAAAGAGTAGATATAGTAGCTAATAGCGAAAAAAAAAAAATCAAAGAAATGCATGCCTATCATCCCAGCACTCAATAAGCTGATAAAGGATTTTCAGTTCAAGGCCAGTTGAGCTACATAGTCATTTCAGGCCAGCTTGGTCTACAGAGCAAGACCCTGTCTCAAAAATGAAACACATTTATTAGGTCAAGATGATGAAAACTTGTGTAAATATCCTTAGGATAAAAAGACATAAGCACCTGTCTGGCAAGCACAAGATCCTGAGTTCGATCTCCCGTACTGCAAAAAATAAATAAATAAATAAATAAATAGACAAAGGAATGAAAAATAAGTGAAGAAGATACGACTGAATGAGGTCAATAACCTGAATAATAAAAGCTTTGAAAAGGTAAGTCAATGAGTGGGTATTATTGAAGTAACGCAAAAAACTAACCAAAGGGGCTAGAGGTACAGCTCAGTAATATAGTGCTTGCCTAGCAAGCACAAAGCCTTGTGATAATCTTCAGCACCATAAATGAAACAAAACAACCCACCAAGAATTGCAAGAGATAAATTTCTAGAATAAAAGGGTAATTGTAGAAATGCCCAATGCATGAGGAAAAAACCCCACAAAAGCACAGTATTATAAACTACATAACATTAGTGATAAAAAGATACTAAAAGATTCCAGAAAGAAAAAACAAATAAAAAAAATAACAGATTACATACCTGTAGCTGGGAAAAGAGCATCATTTGATTTCTTATTAGCAACATCAGAAAATAGAAGATAATGCAGCAATGCTTTATAATCATAAAGGAAAGGGATTACCAATAGAGCTCTTTCTTCTTTTCCTTCCTTTCTTCTTCTTTTCTTTCTTTTTTTTTTGGTAGTACTAGAGGTTGAACCCAGGACCTTCACATTAAGGCCCTTTAAAATTTTGTTTTAAAACAGTTTTGCTAAATTATTAAGATGCCCAGGTTCAGATCAAACTTCTTAACCTGCTGCCTTTATCCTCAAGAGTGAAGGAATTATAGGCACATACCACCATGCCTGGTTTAAATCCAAAATTCTACATAGAGGCAGCTATCAATTAGTCTGATTCTAAAATAAAGATATTGATGCAAAAATCTTAGAGTAAAGCACTTAAGGTAAATGTAAAGTTTCTACTATACCTGAACTGGTGAAGTGTCTGTATCAGTAGACTGTGAGTTATGTATATAAAACACCTAGAGCAACCATGAACAGAAGAGGAAGATAGGAAGAAATAAAAAAAACCCAATATAAATAGAAAAAGGAGAAGAGAGAGCAAGGGGGTACAAAGTTGGGAGTAGAAAACAAAATGAAAAATAAATGACAGACCTCAGCCCTAATGTAACAATAATTAAACATATCTGGTTTTAAATTTTTACTTATTCATTTTATTAGTAATTTTTTTGTAATACATAATGAACACAGTATATCTGTCATGGGGAGTTGGTACATGTACATACAGCATCTTTTTACCTCCTCTTCTCCTTCTCTCTCTCCTCTTTCATTTCTAGATTCCCTTGTAAAAGTTCTATATCCCTGTTTCCTCTTGTATGTCTTTTATTTTGCTCTTTAAATTTTTTTGGACTGGAAATTGAACTTAGGACCTTGTACTTGCCAGGCAAGCACTTATGCTGCTGAGTTATATCTCTGGCCCCTGCTCATTAAGTTATTTACACCCTTAAGTTTCTTATATAAAAGAAATCATGTGATACATAAGCTTTTGTATCTTTATTTCATTAAGCATTATAGTCTGATCTCAAGGTGCATCCATTTTCTTACAAACGACTCAAATTTAGCCTTGGTTATGGCTGAGCAGTGTGTGTACATCTGTGTATTTATATAAAAATTTCCCCATCATTTATTTATAGACACAGGTTGCTTCCAAGAGTTAGCTGGTATGAATTGTTCTCCTATAAACATAGATATGCACATGTAATATGATGTCTGTAACTCTTTTAGTAAAATGTCTAGAAGGGGAATAGCTGGGTCAAATTGAATTTCTAATTTTATTTTATTTTTTTTAAAAGGAATCCTTGTACTGCTTTCCATAGTAGTTATACAAGTGATCTAAAATTTTTTTTTTAATCTTTTTCTTTTTTATCGGTACCAGGGATTGAACTCATGACCACACACTTGCAAGGCAGGTGCTTATGCCGCTGAGCTAAATCCCCAGCCCCTGATCTAAATTTAAAAGATAAGTTAAAATACAGAGATTGACAGAGTGGATTTAAAAACAAAACAAAACAGCTGGGCATGGTGGTGTACACCTATAATCCCAGCATTCAGGATGCTGAGGCAGTTAGTATTACAATGATTTTGAGGCCAGGTCACTTGAACTACCTATTAAAATCTTGTCTTGAGGGGCTGGGGATTTAGCTCAGCGGCATAAGCGCCTGCCTCGCAAGCAGGCAGTCGTGAGTTCCATCCCCGGTACCGAGAAAAGGACCAAAAAAAAAAAAAAAAAGATCTTGCCTTGAAAAAGCAAACAAACAAACAGTCCAAAATAAACATGATACAATTATATGCTGTCTACAAGAAATATTTGAGAGAGAGAGAGAGAGAGAAAGAGAGAAAGAGAGAAAGAAGGGTTTGAAAGATGACAGAAGAGGTTCAAAATGAAAATGGTACAATTGGGAATGGTGGCGCACGCTTGTAAACCTGAAATTTGGGAAGATGAGGCAGCAAGACTGCCAGGAGTTAGAGGCCTGTGCTCCATAGTGAGTTCCAAGGCCAGTTTGGATCATATACCAAGACTCTGTCTCCAAAAAAAAAAAAAAAAGTAAAATGGTGGAGAAGGATACATCATATAAACATTATTCAAAAGAAAGCAAGAATGACAATTTATAAAAACCAGTTAGACTTTAGAGCAAAGAAAACTAGACAATAAACGACTCTAAATTTGCACACACCTTCAAAGTAAGCGATGCAAAAATCTGATGGAACTGAATGAAACAGACAAATCCACAATTACTCTGGACACTTCAGTATTCTTCCCTCAACAATTACAATGTCAAAAAAAATCAGCAAATAAATGGAACTCAATAATATAGCAACCAACAAGATATAACTGATATACCAACAACAGCAGAGGATATAACCTTTTCCAGTGTCTATAGGATATCAAGATAAACCATATTCTAAAGCATAAAACAACCTCAATAAATTTAAATAATGGTTGCAAGCAGGCGGTCGTGAGTTCGATCCCCGGTACCGATGAAAAAGAAAAAGACAAAAAAAAAAAAAAAAAAATTTAAATAATGGAATTCATACAGAATATGCTATACAATTATAGAAGTAGACCAGGCATGGTGATACACACTTATACATCCCAGCTACTTAGGAAACTAAGAGAGGACAACAACTGTTCATTAGAACCCTGCCTGCACAACTTGGCAAGATTC